GAAAAGAAATAAGTCTTTAAAATGAAATAAAACACAATAGAATAACTGAGACCTTGTGGTCATTTTAGATGGGGGGCATGGCACAGTCGATGCAACCCTACAATGGGATCCTCTGATGCCATCAATCTAGCTCCCACCTGGGATCACTGATCTCTTGAACATCCCTGAGCCAGTAAGCCTTTTGATCCTCTGTGCAAAATGAGGAGCATGAACCTTGTGCTCTCTGTTTAATTACAGGCCCACTAGGGTCATAAAGATGGCCAAGGAGTGAACTAGGCAAGGCGGTTCTCATCTTTAATCCCTGGGCTGGGAAGGCAGAGGAAGGTGGATCTCTGTGAGTTCCAGGCCAGCCTGGTCTACAGACAGAGACTCTACCCATCCCCACAAAGATGTCTAAGTGATTAAAAGTACTGCTCCTGAAGAGGATCCAGGTTTGGTTCCCAGAACACATATCAGGTGACATCAGGGGATCCAGTGCCCTTGTCTTCACTCTGAGGACACCTATACTCACATGTATCCACATACGTAGAGTTAAAAATAATCTAATCCGGCCTCCAAAGCTACAGAGAAACCCTGTCTCGAAAAACCAAAAAAAAAAAAATCTAATCCGTAAAAACGTATGAGGAGTAAGCCCATTCCAACAATTTGATGTATGTATGTATGTATGCATGTGTGTGGATATGTGTATACATGCATATATGTATATGGAGGCCAGAAGTCTCTGATTTAACTAGCATAACTAGGCAGCTCACTCTAGGGATCCCTTACCTCTGCCTCCTGTGCACTGGGGTTATAGATAAACTGCTAGTCATCCATGGTATTTATTTGAATGTTGGGAATCTGATCTTCACACTTGCAGAGTAAGCCATTCACTCTCTGGACCATTTCTCCAGTCCCTATTATTTGATAATTGTACTACGCTAGCTGTACAACACACATGATGTATTTTATGTGTTTGTGCATTTGTGTGTGCATATCAATTCTGCCGAGAACTTGATATTGGAGCTAATAGGCTCCACTGTGAGAAATACATTTCTAGTATTTGTAAATTACCCAGGGTGTAGTATTTTGTTATAGCAGCTGAGTTCCCAGTACCCACAGGATAGCACACAATCACCCAAACCCTCCTCCTCCTCCTTCTTCCTCCTCTTCTTCCTCCTCCTTCTCTACAGCAGGCTTTAAAAAAGAGATTTCATGTGTATGAGTGTTTTTCCTATGTGTGCCTGGAGGCTGTGGAGGTCAGAAGCAGGCACTGGAACTGGAATTACCGATGGTTGTGAGACACCATGTGGGTGCTGGGAATCAAACTCCAGTCCCCTGTAAGAATAGTACTTAGCCTCCAAGCTTTTGTTTTAACGATTCTTCCAAAAGCAGCTTACATGTGATGAGCTAGGTGTGCTGGCATACACCTTGCAACCCAGCTCTCAGGAGGCAGAGACTGGTGGATCTCTATGAGTTCAATGCCAGCCTGATCTGTATGAAAAGTTCCAGACTACCCAAGGCTATATAATGAGATGTATGTGAGTTCCAGAACAGCCAGTGATACAAACCATCTTCAACAACAGCAAACAAACAAAACACTAAGTTTTCTTCCTTTTTTAAATTTTTCAGTTAGGGTCTCACTATGAAGCCCTGGCTAGCTTGGAACTCAACATGTAAACCAGGCTGATCTCAAATTCTGCCTCTGCCTCTGAAATGCTTGAGCTAAAGATGTGTACTACCACCCAGCACTAATTTTTAAAAATTGTGTGTGTGTGTGTGTGTGTGGTGTGTACTTGTGCACATGCCACAGTGTGTATGCAGAACTCAGGGGACAACTTAAAGGAATTGGTTCTCTTCCTTCAGTATCTGGATCCTGGGGATCAAATGCAGGTTGCCAGGCTTGGCAATAAGTACTTCTTCCCCTGAACAGCCATCTTACCAGCCGTCCCAGATTTTTATAATAAAACACTGGGGATGGGGAGCAGCACTGGGAAGACCATTCCTTACTGTCTCACCTTTATCATGGTCACATCCACAGCCTGTCATTGGGACTCAGCTGGTTAACGAAAGTGTGGGTTTGATCATTTGAAGGAAGTGCCATGGGCGCAGGCCTCTTGTGGGCTAAGGGTGAAGCTTCCGTGCTCCAGCATGTGCTCCCTTCTGCTCTGCTGCAGCCCAACTTTCTGTCTCTCATAACTTTTTTTGGTTTATTTCCTCCTCCTGGAAGAGCATATGTCCCAGAAACTTCCTTAAAAATAGTACATAGGAGGTAAAACTTCTTTGCAAACTTACTTGTCGGAAGGCATTCTTATTTTACCCAATCACTTGATCAATAAATTGGTCATAAGGAGGATTCTAGCTTAAACACAATTTTATTAAAGAATTTTCATTTATTAATTTATTTTTGTTTGTTTTTTGAGACAAGGGCTTACTATGCAGACCTATCTCTGCCTCCAAAGTGCTGGGATTAAAAATGTGAACCACCACATCCACCCTAAGAATTCTTCTTTAAAAAAAAAAAAGTATTTTACAATGGGCAGTACTGGTGTATGCCTTAAATCCCAGCGCTTAGGAGGCAGAGACTAGCAGATCTCTGTGAGTTCAAGGTTAGCCTGGTTTACAGAGTTCCAGGACAGCCAAGGCAACACAGAGAAACCCTGTCTCAAAAAAAAAAAAAAAAAAAAAAAAAAAGGAATGGAAAGGGAAAAAAAACCAAAAGATTGTTTTACATTTTATTTTCTGAGTATGCCTATATGTGTGGGTATGTTCACACACACTCTCATACTCTCTCTCTCTCTCTCTCTCTCTCTCACACACACACACACACACACTCTCTCTCTCTCTCTCTCTCTCTCTCTCTCACACACACACACACACACACACACACACACACACACACACACACGTCAGAGGGCTACTGTGTGGAGTCAGTTCTCTCCTTCTACCTTTACTTGGGTTCCTCGATGGAACTCAGGCCACCAAACTTGCGTCATTAGACGGTGCACCTTTACCTACTGAACCAGCTTGCTGGCCTTTCCTGAGGAATTCTGAAGGCATTGTCCCTCAAGTGTAACTGCTGAGAAACCCAAAGCCATCCTCATGTCCTGTTTCCCTAAGACTGGGTTTTCACTTGGGAAGCCAGAAGGATCTTATCTGTCCACATCGTTCTGAAGCTTTACAAGTATTTATTGTGCGATAGATCATCTTTCCTTCCCTGTGGGCTCTTTCCATCTGTAAATGGTTTATCCCCCAGGTTTAGGAAATTCCCTTGGAATAGTTCCATAGATGCTTTCCTTATTTGTTTTTCTTTTGTTCTTTACTTTCTAGTGTTAGGATATAAGGATGATGAGACCCCTGGTTTGGTTTTCTTTTCTTTACAAAAGAGAAAAAAATATTTTATTTTAAATCATGTGTGTGTGCTCACATGCATACCCCTGTGAATGCAGGCGTCTGAGGAGGCCAAAGGGTCACCCTGGAGCTCGAGTTACAGGTGGCTTTAAGGCATGTGACAGGTGCTGGGAACCAGTCTTTTGCAAGAACAGTTTGTGCTCTTAGGCTGAGTGAGTAGGGCACTTACCGTGTAAGTGTGGAGAACAGAATGTGTGAGGACCAGAGTTCCAATCCAGAACCTACGTGTGTAGTGGGAGGGCATGGTAATTCGTGTGTAATTCCAGGCACAGGTGGTAAAGATGAGATCTCCAGAGCAAGCTGGTTGGCTAGACTACCGAAGTTGGTTCAGTGAGAGATCCTGCTTCAACGTGTAAGGTGGAGAGCAACTGACAAGTACACTCGGCGTCAGCCTTGGCCCTCCATACACCTGTACACACGAGCATGACCATTCACACACAAGTGCCCACACATGAAGATGTGCACACTCGTACCCCCCCACATACACCAAAATTATCTTTAACGCTTCTGTCTTCTAATAGGCTACCTGATTTGTGAATGAATTACAATCTTACCCTGTTATATCAGCAACCTTAAAAAAATTCTCCCTGCCTTTTATCCTGTTTACTATTTTAATGACATGGTACATGTTTTTTCCCCCTTTCTTTTAGTTTTATGTTTATTTAGTGCCCCCTCCCACATTAACAAAGAGTCTCACTGTAGCTGGGGTTGGCTTTGGTCTCTCTGTGTAGACAGAGGGTGAACCGAATTGGGATCCTTCTGCTATCACTTGTCCAGAGCTATGACTCCAGGGTATGCACTACTGCATCTGTTTCTTGTTATGGTGGAGATCAAACCTAGGGGTTCGTACATGCTAGGGAAACACTGTCTCAAAAAAAAAAAAAAAAGAAAGAAAGAAAGAAAAGAAAAGAAAAAGAAAGAAAAAAAGAAAAGGAAAGAACCAAAACATTAGTTTACATTTTATTTTCTGAGTATGCCTATATGTGTGGGTATGTGCACAAGTGAGCAACGTATCCAGCTCCTCGTAGAGACATGTAGCCCAGGCTGGGTCTTGAACTCCCCATGTATGTGAGGTTGATCACCACACTTCAAGACTCTACTGCATCCACCTCCCAAGTGCTGGGATTACAGGCATGCTACCAGAGCAGGTTTGTGATGTGCTAGGGATGGAACCCCAGGTTGTACACGCTGGCAGGCATTCTAACTGGGGTACATCTCACAGGATCTCATTGTAGAGTAAGCTATATAGAATTTTCTAGAAGGACCTTATGCCACAGCATATTGTAGTTATTGTATAACGGGGGTGGGGAGGTTAAGAATCTCCCTATGGCGTTCGCCGGTGTGGAGGCGGAAGAACGGGCCGTACCGGAGACCCGAACAGGTAACTCGAGGATTCAGAGACCTTCCTAAACTCGGTCACGCCCTGGACGCATTAGCGTGCCAAGATGGCGGACGCCCCGCCCCGAGGCCCTTCGAGGCGCGTTCGCCGACTGGAGCCGAGTGCTTCCGAGCTTTCCCGAGCGTTCCCGAAAGCCAGTGGAACCCAGGAACGGCGCGGGCGGGAGCGGCCCCGCCCGAAGCCTGGGAGCTGCGTCGACGGCACCTAGGGGGAGGGGAGGCCGGATGTGAGTGGAGCGGCCATTTCCTGTTTCTCTGCAGTTTTCCTCTGCTTTGGGTGGTGGCTGCTGCTGTGCTTCGCCTTCCAGTCCTCTGAGGGCCAGACGGCGTGGACAGCGTTCCCGGCACTCCGCCCGCAGCCTCACACCCGCTCGCCCTGCGCTTCCCGAGCCCGCCGCTTCCCGCCTCAGTGACCGGCCGCCGCCGCCGCGGCCCACGGAGCGGCCCAGATGCAGGCCATCAAGTGTGTGGTGGTGGGAGACGGGTGAGTGCACGACCGTGTCGGGGGCTACGGAGGGGGTGTCGTACGCGGCTCCATCGGGGGCGGGCTGCACTCGGGTCCCCCAGGCCTGAGAAGCCTCGGGCTGGCGTAGAGCGCGCGCCCGGCTTTCTAGGGGGCGCGGGCCTCCCACCCTCCCAGGCCTGGTTCCGGCTTTGGTTGGGGGAGGGCCTGGGCGAGCCGGCCGGAGGGAAAAGTGAACTCCACCCTCCTGCTTTCTTCCCGGGCCGGACACCGCCCGTCGCCCTGCTCTTGTTGGCACGTAGACGAGGCTGGTTTGAAAATTTTTGCTTTTTTTTTTTTTAATTGTTTCTGGCAAAAGGAAGTCTAGTTTCTTCATTAACTCAGGGTTCCCCCAGAACTGGGATAGGTATCGGCCTCCAAGTCGATCTTACTCGGTGCATGTTTGCACCGGTCACTTGGGTGACCTGGAAGTTAGGAATGGACTCGGTTGCTTCGACTTTGCAGGGTTTTATAAAAATACTCGTTTTCACACTTTCCGCCGAGAAAGTTCCTGGAATGCTAGCTGAAGGAGTGAGTGATGAGGACTGTCCGTTGAATGTAGTGTGGTCCTTTAAAAACGAGCCACTCTGAAGGCATTAGATATGGACGTTGCAGATCCAGCTCCCTGTGACTCGAGGCAATTCTTTTCATGACTGTTGGTGATGGTTTCAGGCCCTTGAGGGAGACAAGACTGGTCTTATGCAGTTCTCCCCCCCTTCAGTAGAAACAAGAATCTCAGTGTAATCGGAGCAAAATCGCGCGTCTCAGCGTTGCTTGTGTAGGTTCGCGTTAACGAGGAAGCTTGGAGATTTACTACTACCAGTTGCCTCAAACGCAAAATGCAACTGGTACATTTTCAAATTCAGTATAACGCACTGCAAACTTAGTTAATGTCTTCCACACTTGCAGCAAACACCGATTTTCCTGAATCTCAGCCCCTCGATTCATGATCGTTTTTGCATAACTCTACATTAGACATTTGGGATTGTCCCTGTAACTCATTCAGCCAACCCCCCTTTATTTTGGTTACATGCCCGTCTGTGGGATTTGTCTCACAAACAGGAAGTCTTACGAACACGGTTCAGTGTATATAATATATAACTATGCATTGGGAGCTTCATTGGATAGGAATGTGTATGCTGCTTTCCTTTCGTCTCCTAGAAGAAAGCTGTCTTTTGTCACTTGGGACAGTTAGTTTAATAATGAAAGCAGTTGAAGTGAAGTTCTGCTTTGGAGCCAGAGTCTTTCTGTGTCTTGGTCCTCGATGATGATTCTCTGTGACAGCCTTGGAAGTGTTGGGTTTACAGGTGTGAGCCATAAGGTGTGCTTTAAGTGAAGGTTTTTATTGTTTGTTTGTTTTTGTTTTGTTTTATATTGTGAATGAACTAAACATAGCACTTTTCCTGGGGAATGTTTGAAAGTTATCTGAACTTCCTTTAAAAGTTAAAAATTCATTTGTGAACCGGGAGGTCCTACCACATTTCCTAGCTTTTTGTAAGTTAAATTGTTGTGTCACCATCCTTGGTCGTCCCAAAGCTTAGGGACAGTAGAGGAAGAAGGGAGATTTTAAGAACCAGAGGCCAGGGACACTAGACGGAAACAGTGTCTTCTGGATTACACTTGTGAACTCAACAGCAGCTGTACAGAATCCTAGCCTAGGGCGGAGAGGGCCTAGGCTGAGTTGGGATGGACCCTTGATGGCTTCTGGGGGTAGGAGAGTCACTTTTCTTTATGGGTGTGGCCCTTGATAGATCCACTTAGCTCCAGTAGACGGCCCACACTCGCAAGTATATAGGCATCACAAATTGGACTAGGTGGGTCTTTAAGGGAGCTGCGAAGCTGGTAGGAGGAAGAGTAGGGATGAATATGATGAAAATATATTGGAAGACATTCTCAAAAAAACTTACTTTTTAAAAAAGGTAAATTGTTGCTAATCCAGTACCAAATCACAGTGTTTGGAAATTTCTAAGACTGAAATACACAATCAACAGGTATGCTAATATAAAGTTTATTTGATACATATTTTAGGTCTGCTTTCCCTCCTATGCTAGAGTTGGAATTTAGGGTCTATGCTTCCTGGCAAGTGCTGGACAGCTGAGATGCATCTTAGCCTGTTACTGGCTTTAAAAACAAAGTCAAATATTTGCAGAATGCCTACTGTGTGTGGGATGTGGGTCCTTCCTTTGGATTCCCAGTACTTATTATTTCTTATTTTTACTATTTTATGTGTATGGATGTTTTGTCTGCGTGCACGTTTGTGAAACTGGAGTTACTGACAGTTGTGAACCACTGTGGGGTGCTAGGAATCTAACCCAGATCATCTTGAAGAGCAGCCAGTGCACTTAGTCTCCAGTCCCCGTTAATTTAACTTCTGGCATAACCCTCAGCCCGCCATTCTTCCCTCAAGAGAGATGCCTCTAGGGAAAGTTAAACAAGACTAAACAAGATGCTGAATATTAAGAGGCCCTTAAGTGCCTGGTCCTTGTGGAGTGTTTAGAAGTGCTGGGTACCATTGTTACTGTGTTCCAGTGTCTTATTTCTTGTGTGCTAGACAAGTGCTCACCACTGAGCTACTCCCACCAGCCCCATTCTTACTATCATTGTTAGGGTCTTTGTGTTAGTTTTTACTATGAGGGTCTGTGAAGAATGTTAGATAGAAATGTAGTTCCTGGTCTTGATTTTTTTTTAGTCTACTTAAAAAAAAACTTCATTGTTTTTATATTCACTTTTATGTGTGTAAAAGACATATGTTGCCATGGCAAGCTTAATAAGGTCAGAGGCCAACCTAGAGGAATTGGCTCTTTCCACCCGTGTGGATCTCAGGGATTGAACTCAGGTAGTTAGGCTTACCTTTACCTGCTGAGCCATCTTTATACCCCCAGTATACTTTTTTCAAATGGAGTCTCTTAATGTATATATCTGAATGCTGGATTAAAGGTGTGTATCGCCACATCTGTGCTCTAAAAATAGTGAATATGTAAGAAGAGTGTTTTGCCTGCATGTATGTCTGTACCACATTTGTGTCTGGTCCAAAGAGACCAGAAAGAGGGTGTTGGGTCCCCTGGAAACTGGAGTGACAGATGGTTATGAGTTGCTGTGTGGATGCTGGGAATTGAACTTGGGTTCTCTGTAAGAGCAGCCAGTGCTCCTAACCATTGAGTATCTCCAGACCTTCTGTGAGAGAGAGAGAGAGAGAGAGAGAGAGAGAGAGAGAGAGAGAGAGAGAGAGAGAGAGAGAGAGAGAGAGAGAGAGAGAGAGTGTGTGTGTATGTGTGTGTGTGGTTTTGTTTTTTGAGACAGGGTTTCTCTGTTTCTCTGTATCTTTGGAGCCTATCCTGGAACTCACTCTGTAGACTGGGTTGGCCTCAAACTTACAGAGATCCTCCTGCCTCTGCCTCCTGAGTGCTGGAATTAAAGGTGTGCACCACCATTGCCTGGCTTTTACATACTGTATTTGACAGAGATATTGTTGGGGCTAAGACAGAAGGGAAATGTACATTTACCATAAGATTAAAATTTACACTTTTAATGTGTAGCAAACATTGATTTAGAATATTGGTTCTCAACCTTGGGGTCACATATCTCAATATTTACATTATGATTCATAACCGTAGCAAAATTATGATTATGAAGTAGCAACAAAATAATTAAAAGTTTGCAGCATTAGGAAGGTTGAGAACCACTGGTTTAGAAGAAGTATAGATACATGGCTTTTCATGCCCATATATATGTATGTATGTATGTATGTATGTATGTATATCTTTTCATCAAATAAGCTATGCCTGTGGTATAGTTGTTTTTTTGTGTTGTTGTTTTGTTTATTTTGAGACAGGGTTACTCTGTGTAGCCCTGACTCTCCTGGAACTAGCTCTGTAGTCCAGGCTGGTTTTGAACTCACAGAGATATGTCTGCCTCTGCCTCCTATTGCTGGGATTAAAGGTGTGCGCGACCACTGACCAGCTCCTGAGGTATAGTTGGAATGCCTTTTATTCTGAAAAATTTAAAGCAGTTAAGCCTAATGTCATGTATAGTAAACTTTACAGGCTAAAAGTCTCCTAGTGTGCCTTTTAATATAAGAAGTGATGACAGGGCTGGAGAGATGGCTCAGAGGTTAAGAGCACTGACTGCTCTTCCAGAGGTCGTGAGTTCAATTCCCAGCAACCACATGGTGGCTCACAACCATCTACAATTCAATCTGGTGCCCTCTTCTGGTGCATAGGCAGAACACTGTATATGTAATAAATAAATAAATAAATCTTAAAAAAAAAAAGAAGTGATGACAAACTGGGGTCGTACAAATTGGGAACTTTCTTATTTAAAAGTTCTTTTGAGGAGTGACCATGTTAGATTAGTCGGCCTGTATTCTTCTGGTGGATTAGTCTCTGTTCAGTATTAATTCGCAGTGGATATGAAATATGAGAGATTTACAGCTCATTATCAGATGGTCTTTCTGAAAACAGAACTGGTGTGTGTTTCTTGGTGGTATGGCAGGTGCTGACCCACACTGAGCTAGCATTCTTACTCTTTCACACCCACCCACCTTTTTCTTTCTTCTCATGCTATGAACTAAACCTAGGGCCTAACATTTGGTAGGTGAGTGTTCTACTTCATCAAATCCTCACCCACCCTGGCCTCGAGCTTTTTTCCGCCTTCACCTCTTGAGTGCTGGACTTGCAGAGATGAGCCATCACAACTACCTCAGTGGTTTTTAATAGTACTGGTTTAGTTGTGGCTGACCAGAAAGCTGACACGTGAACGTCTTGAGTTTCCTTCTTGTCTGCATATGGACTTGGGTACAGTATAGTGTCTGACTTAATCATTGGAGTCCAGAAATTTTGTTAGTTCAGCCTCCTGTGATGCCATCCTTACAGGAATGGACACATTTTACTCTGCTTCCATTGAACAGTGATGGCATGACCTGTGAATTTGCTTAAGCTCCTCATGAGTTTTTGTTTTCTTGTGGTGGACTTGTGTGTTTATTTTGGCCTATTATGAAGGTACTTGAATTCTGCACTGGCTTCCAAATTTATGTTTTTTAAAATTATTATTTTATATGCATGGGTGTTTTGCCTGCATGTATGTTTGTGTACCAAGTCCCTAGTGTCCTTGAAAGCCAGAAACTCTGGGCCCCCTGAATGGAGTTACAGACTGTTGTGAGCCACCATATGGATGCTGTCAATTGAACCTGAGCCCTGCAGAACCACCAGCGTTCTTCATCTCTGAAGCACTCTCCAGCCTCTTTTTCTCTTTCATAAAATAACTACACCTTGTATCTCTTCACTGGACTCTAATTTGCTACTCCCGTGAATGGATGATTTCAGAATTGAGAGGGGTGGTCTAGAGTAAAGCCTCCTCAAAGCCTCACCTCTCTTCTGTGTAGTGCCTTCAGCTTCAATGCTTGAGAAACTGTACAGAGTCTTAATTTGTAGTCTTTAGTGGTGTTAATGACAATCTTTATACCCACGGTTATGATGTTTCTGGCTAATAAACTTGAGAGTTCTGAATTGGAATTTGTCTTTTCCTGGTACTGAATTATTCTTACTGATTCATCTATTTGTCTGAACATAGTCTTGTTGTCCTTCATATGTGTTTGTGGAAGGAATGCTGTTACAGAATCACTGTACTTCCTTCTGAGAGAAATTCTGGACCTTACTTAGTCGAAGATCTTTCAATTACTTGAGAAATATGAGAGAAGAGGTCATGTGCATATTTGTGGGAGGCAGAGGCATCTTCCTCAATCATCTGCCATTTCAGTTTTTACTTTAAAGCGAGCCAGTGCACGCACGCTTTTGTGTGTGTGTGTGTGTGTGTGTGTGTGTGTGTGTAATGAGTGGGTGCCATGTGTGGGGTTGCCCACAGAGGTCAGGAGAGGGCATTGGATACTCTTGAAGGCAGAGTTACAGGTGGTTGTGAGCTGCCTGATCTGGGAGCTGGGTACTAAACTTAACCCTCTGGAAGAACAACAAGCTGTCTTAACCTCTGGGCCATGTCTCCAGCTCCTACCTTTGTTTTGAAATGGGGTCTCATATAGCCCAGGGTAGACTTCAAACTTCCTATGTACCAAGGTAAAACTGAACTCTGCATCCCCCATTCCCACCCCCCCAGAGTTATACCCTGCCTGCCCTTAAGATTGACTTTTTGGTCCGATCTGTGTGCTTTTAGACAGTGTAACCTGGTCTGCATTTGGTTTACATTTGTTACTGGTTAAGTCTAGTTTTTCGGTCTTAGGAATATTTTGTCTTACAAGGCCATGCAGAAAGTTCTTTATTCTTTTTAGATCTACCCACCATTCCTCGGTGCAGGCATGGTATTCAGGAATCGTGCATGCTAGGCAAGCATGGAGATTTCTTTTTGTTTTTCTTTTTGGACAGGGCTTTGCTAAGTAGTCCATGCTGGACTTAAGCAACCCTTCTCTTTAAGACTTCCCAAGTACTGTGATACACACTTTTCTTACATACTGTTAAAGGTTTTATGTATATATGAGTGTCTGGGTGTATGCATGCACACATGCAGGTGTCTGTAGACCCTGCTGGTCTAGAACTCAGAGAGATCACCTGACTCCTGAGTGCTGGGAGTAAAGGTGTGTGTCACTACCACCCGACTACATGTTTGTCGATGCTTTCAGATTATTGATTTGTGCTTTAAGGTTTGGCTTGTAGGTTTCAGAAAATAACAATAAAGCTGGTCAAAGCAGAGGGGATGTGAACTACAGAGTTCTCTTAACAGTAAAATGAAGACTTCCGTAGGAACGGAGGTCACTTGTGGACTTCACTCTGAGTCCTTTCTGCAGGATAGGGCAGGAAGTACAGATAGGTTAAAGAAATAGTAACGCCATGTGTTAAGGGAAGAGCTAATATAGAATGGACAGAAGCTTCTCCCAGTAGATAAGGCTCATTTTCTAGAGTTCAAAGATTAAAAGGAGGTTGAACCGAGCACTTAAATACACAAATTCAGAAAAACCCAAAGCAGATAGAAACTTCCAGAAATTCTGCAGCAGTGTCAGTCATGGCTGTGTCCAAATATGGCTTCCATTCTTTATGTGAACATATTCTTGATGTTTCTTCCTGTAGTTCAAATGTTGACTTTGGCATCTAGAGTTGATTTATGCCATGTGTTTACAAGGAATGAGTAAATACCTTAAAAGAAGGGTAATAACCTTTCTATTTATGCTGATCCATTTTTAAGTTAAGAATTTAGTAAAAGTACATAGAGGCAGGTTCTCACATAGCCCAGACTGGTCTCGAATGTGCTACAATCTTCAGCTTCTGATCCTCCTGGGTGCTAGGATTACAGACAAGTGCCATTCTGCCTGATTTTATTTGGTATTGGGGATCAGACCTAGGATTTGGTGCATGCTAGGCCAACTGAGCTGCATTGCCAACCCTATAGTCATGTTTTTATAGAACATAAATTGTAGTTAATAATGATTAAAAATTACATTCCCAGCCCTGTGTGGTGGCTCACAACTGTAACCCCAGCACTGAGGAGGCAGAGGTAAATGGGTCAAAGGATCATGATGAGCACAAATGTAAAACCAACCCGGTCTACATAATGAGTTCAAGGCCATTAGGGTTGTGTAGTGACACCACTTCAGTAGGTAAAGGTACTTGCTGACAAGCTTGACAATCTGAGCTCCACCCCTGGGGTACACATGGTAGGAGGGGAGGACTTATTTATTCCCTTAAAGCAGTGTTTATTAACCTTCCTTATGCTGTGACCCTTTAATATAGTTCCTCATGTTTGGCGACCCCAACCATAAAACTATTTTCCTTGCTACTTCATAATTGTAATTTTGCCACTGTTATTATGACTTGTAATATAAATATTTGTTTTCTGATGATCTTAGGCAATCACTATAAAAGGGCCATTTGACCTCCAGGTTGAAAACTGCAACCATAAAGTTTTTTGTTTTTATCTCATGCATGCAGTTGCATGTGTGCACATTCTTATACAAACAGCAACAACAAAATTCTCAATACCGGATTTTGCCAGTCTCTTCCCAATTGGGCCTTTCAAAGATGATGCCTCTGGGTGGAGTGTACAGTTCTGGTATAAGGCTTGCCCAGCATGCTGGGGAACAGGATGCTAGTGTGAGGAAGATGAAGTGTTGGGATTGAACACAGGGTTTGTGTGTACTGGGCAAGCATTCTACCACTAAGCTACAGCCTCAGCTGAGGTTTTAATTTTTAATTATTACATATATTGACTGTGCTGAGAGCCTTCACTGACACTTCATATCTCTGGGGGATGTACTTTGATCATCCCCTGCCCTCTTCCACTTTGTTTTGTTGACTTGTTTGAAGTAGGTTCTCACTAAGGAGCCCTAGCTAGAGTGGAACTCATTGTATAACCCAGACTGACCTGGGTCTCCTGAAGATCCTCTTATTTGAGCCCTCACCCCCAGCTGTCCCATGAGTCTTGTTTTCTGCAGGCAGTATCTCAGAACCTAGTACCTTCCATTGTTGCTGTACACTGGTGTTGAATTAATGCTTACTGTAGTCGAGTGCATGTGCTTAAGAGCAAGAACAGAGGCAGAAAGGGAAGTTTAGATGTGCCAAAAAACTACACCTGAGTTTCTGCTCTAGGCCTTTCCCCATCTTGGGCTCTTGCTCATACAGGTTTGTTTTGACATTCTAAGACTTTCACAAGATAAATGTGTAATGAGTCATTTCTGTTTAGAAAGCAGTTAGGGATTGGAAGTTACCTGCTTGTGATGTAATGTTTGACAGTGAGATCTTTAGGTGGGGAGTTCCAACTTCATTATGGCCCTTACAATGTTACAAGTCAAGCAAGTATTGGCAAGACTGAGTGGTTGAGCTACTGTCCTGTGGAGCCTTTATCCTCAAAGAATGGAAGGCAGGTATAAAGCTTGCCTTCTGGGTAGTGAACCCCAGTCTCCAGTGGCCTGTGCTCAGCAGCAAAATCTTACAAATCAAATCAACACCAGTATATGTATCTCCCTGACCTTAGTAAGCCATCAGAAGGCAGCAGCCAATTGGGCTCATTACAGAGAACTGTTTGGACTGAGTCTTCAGGATGTCCCTGGAGTTGATTAGAGACTATGGTGAATAGATATTTTATCTTACCTAGTGTTTTTGCAAATGGTACAGCAATCTTCATTCTTAGTAATAATCTCAAAAAACATTTCAGTGGTTGGGTGGGAGCTTTTCAGACAGTACCCTAACTTCTGCCTGAGGGTACACTAGTGATAGCGATAGCTGTCTGCCTCCTTAATGTTACTTATTTGTGCACATTTCTCATTTGCTCTCTCTTTGCAGCTGTTTGAGAAGTTTACTCTATGCCTGTTCCCTTCACTAATGTGTTTAGGATATATGATATTAGCTCCTTTCCCAGCTTGTGAGGGTTGGGGGTGGGGAGGTGATGTGCATTATATGAGTGAGTGAGAGCCCTGTGGCTGCTTAACTGGCTGTGCTCCGTTAGAGACAGGCTTGGGGGATGGGACATGCGAGTTGGAGAGCTTTGCCACTTAGAGGCAACCTTAGTCAGTACTTGAGAAATAACAGTGTGAGTTGCAAAGGCAGTGGTGTTCACATATTAGTAATCGACTGTGAGTGGAAGATGTTCTGAGGGGACTTTATGTCAAGTGCTTCTCTGAGTCTTGTCTAATACAGACTTTCTGACTGCTACTCCAGATGCCACATAGACAGAAAGGGGTGTTGCTCAGTCTGTCTTCCTGAGAAATACAAAGGGTTTGTTTTGTTTTTAAGATAAAAATGTATACAGAGTGTTAAATGTTAGAAAACTCATTTGTTAATGCTTATGGATGTGGTATAGCTATTTCCTGGTATTTTCTAGATTATTGTAGCAGAATAGTGGAGGCCAGGGTTGTGTTCACATTGACTAAACAGCACTTTTCTCTCCCTTTAGAGCTGTTGGTAAAACCTGCCTGCTGATCAGTTATACAACCAATGCATTTCCTGGAGAGTACATCCCCACCGTGTGAGTATCCTCCTCAGATTGGGAACCATTTTGCCTGTGACACCTTTTTCTGTTCTTCTGTATAGCCCTTGTCAATACATATATGAATGAATAGTGTTTATTTTCTTTTCCAGCATTGACTGGAGTCTAATTGTTAGATATTTAGAGCTTCAAAAAAATGAGTAATTTAACGTGTGATTTCCTTATATGAGGCTCATATGAAGGAATGTACTGTTTCCTGATTGAATTTTAGACATTTAGAAAACAAAGAATTACACTGTGGAGTGCATCGGCTGGGGGGTGTGAAGAAAGCCAGAGCTGGCCCGCAGCAGTTCAGTTTCTGATAACCTAGCTCTGTGGGAACTGGAGCACAGAGTATTGCATTAGGTTTAATTGGCAAGTCATCATTTGGTTCCATGTCACTGTTAAAGGGCTGTAGAGGTGAAGTGTGGGGGTGGGGCAGAGTTGGATTCTAGGCTGCTAATTCTCTAATTCTGTATAGCTAGCCTAGTCGAGTGGGAAGAAAAAGTGCTTTTCTCATGATGGCTCACCGGGGAGCCTCCTGATGCTGCAGAGCTCTAGCCTCACGTCTGTCCAGTGCACCTTGACGGCTCAGGCCCTAGGGTGACCACTAGGGTTTTATGTATGGCCTAGGCTGGCTTTTGAACTCTTGATTATCTTGCCTCCCCAGTGTACACCACACCTGCCATTATCTTTATATTTATCTGTAAATCACATTAGCTTAAACTTTGCTTTTATACGAAGAGTCCCTATTTTTAAGTATTACACATAATAAAAATAAGCTCCTTTAGCCTTAAAACTGATGCATCAAGATATTTTTCTTAGAGCTGGAGAAATGTTTCAGTGGATAAGAGCACTGGCTGCTCTTTCAGAGGATCTGGGTTTGGTTCCCAGTACCCAGTTTCAGTGGGTATGAATTCTGAATTCCATGGGCACCAGACATACATGTACTATACGTACATACATGCCAGCAAAACTAATAAAGATACTGTTTTGTTTTAAATTGCAGTGGTAAAATTATTTTTGTTTTTGAGATGGGGTATTGTGTAGCTCATGTTGGCCTTAAACTCCTGACCTGATCCTACTCCAGGCCCTTGAGTTTTTGGTTTTGTTTTGTTTCTGAGCAGTCAGTGATACCAGTAGTATTCTGTTGTTGTTTTGAGACAAGGTTTTGCTCTGTAAGGAACATCTACTTTGAACTCTTAGTGACCCCTGCCTCGATGGATAGACTTCTGGGGCGCCACTCACTGTAATTAACTAATTTGTACGTAGCGATTTTGGGCTAATTTACACACTGATGTGGTCAGGTGTGCTCACTCTGAAAACTTGGGTGTCTTCTAAAATCCTGTTTTGTTGTGCCACTGCACTTTGGGCTGAGGCATAGGTGACTTTGCTATGTATGTACACTTTGACTAAGGTCACTGATTTAAAGTGAACAAAATAGTCCATGAAAAGCTTGACAAGTGGCATCTGGAAGAGGAGCTCTTCCATGTTGTCTTTTTCCTGTAGAGAAAACTCTTCTGTTCACTAAATGCAGAGTTCATTTTGGGTTTGCATTTGTTTCCTTATAAGGGAGAGGCCTGTCCTTTGTTTCTTTCTCATCTCTCTGGTTGTGTGTGTGGTTGATTCCCTGTGTCCTGTTTTTTAGCCTATCTTCTCCAGGGGACTTCTCATGCCTCAAGGATGTTTTCTGGGCTAGCAGCCTCCAGGCCCACCTCTTCCTTATAGCACACCTCCTTTGAGAAGCTGAGGGACTGTGACTTAGTCCCCATGTCTGTGACTAACCTTTTCTTGTCCTGTTATACAGCTTTGACAACTATTCTGCCAATGTTATGGTAGATGGAAAGCCAGTGAATCTGGGCTTATGGGATACAGCTGGACAAGAAGATTATGACAGATTGCGTCCCCTCTCCTATCCGCAAACAGTAAGGCTCACACTTGATTCTTACCATGTTTTAGACTGTATAATTCTTCATTGTTTACCTGATGGGCAGTGCACACAGATCTGCTTGTGTTGCTGTGACTGGGGTCTGTATCATGTAAGCGAAGGTATATTAATTAGTTCAGTAGTAAATACTTCCTTAGATGCAAGCCAGAATTTGGCTTTTTGAATATTATCAGTTATTCAGCCCTTTTTATTTTGCATTCTTTTTTGGTTGTGAGACAGGGTTTCTTTGTAACTTGGGAGCCTGTCCTGGAACTAGCTCTGTAGACCAGGCTGACCTTGAACTCAAAGAGATCCACCTGCCTCTGCTTCTGCCTCCCAAGTGCTTCGATTAAAGTCAGGCTTCACCACTGCCCGTTTTATTTAGTTTCCAGACAACCACACAGAACAGGTACTGTCTTATATTTGGTTTTGCAAAGTTGTTCCTGACAGCAGTTACTTTGAAAGATAGCTTGTTTGTGATGGTTTTGCACTGTAAAATCAAATTAAGCAGTTAGGTTGGGCATAGTGGCACTTGGGAAGCTAAAGCAACATTGCTACAAGTTTGAGACCAACTTGACCTATTCTTTGAGACTTTGTTTAAAAAAAATTAAGGAGTTATTATTAAGGTTTCTTGAGCTGGGGTTGTTGCTCAGTTAGTAGAATGATTGTCTGGCATTCAGTCTTGAGTTACATCCCTGGCATCACATAACTAGACATAGTGGCTTGTGCTTGTAATTGGAAGTGATGATCAAGGTGATCCTTGGTTATATAGTAAGTTCCAGCCTGGACTACATGACCCTGTTTCAAAAAAAAAAGTTAGAATTTTTTTCAGCTGAATTGGTGAACTTATCTTAGGGTTAATACTTTTCCCCATAAAGCACATAGGTCTTGATTTCAGTATAAGTCTTTAGTGTAGATGGAGGCCTCAATTTTGCAAAGTGTACCTTTGTATCTAGCCAGGAAAAACATTTTTTTAGTTAGTTTAGCTTCTGTATGAGGCAACCAAATGACTGATCATTTACCTGAAGCTAATTAGAGCAGCGGTTGGCAAGAAGAGTGGGTGCTTGGAAGACGGTGTTATGATGTAAAGCATCAGTCATTTGCTTATCTAATACATGTCTTCATTTTAGACAATGTATTTTAAGGCCAGGGGTATGGCTCAGGGTAGAGCATTTGCCTTTCTGCAAACCCCCATGGGGAGGTAAGGAAAGAAGAGTGTGTCTTAGAACAGTTTTGGTGATAAAGTGATTGACCTTAAAGGCAGCAGAGGGAATTCATTGGATTAAGATCCTGTACTTTGTACCTAGCTGTGCATTCTCAGCAATGTCTTCATCTCTGTCCTCTGCCTGCTTGTCACCATCGTAAGATGGGTTAATACATCTCAGACCAGGTATGTTGGTTCAAGCCTATAATCTCAGGACTTTGGAGACAAGGCAGGTGGATGTCTGTGAGTTTAAGGATAGCCTGTGTTGTGCAACCTTGTTTCAGAAATAAGAAAATAATACATGTGTGCACAGCAATTCTGGCACAGTCCACATCCACTAGTGCCCGTTTACTCCTCCTCCCACCTGACAGATTTGACAGGCAGAGGCTCCTCTAACCAGGCTTTTTTTGAATGAGCATTCCTTATGTTCTCTTTATGCCCCTTATTGTTTACTGGGGGGTCTGGCCTGAGATTGGAGGCATCTTACAGAAAGGCAAGCTTTGAACCCTGACTGACTGGGCAGCTGTCACCTGCTTAGCCCTTACTTTGGAGTGCATTGAATTAGTTCCACTGTACACCTTTGTGTTTTTGAATGAACTTCCCGTTTAGTAGTGATGGTTTTATGTGTTAGAGGATACCTTTTCTCTGCAATCAGAGAATACCTTTTGTTTCTCAGTGAAGTGTTGCCAGGTGCTGTCTTTTGGAATTGTAGGTTTTTGTTAATTGAGTTATAGCTGAATTTTAGTTAACAGTGATAAAGATCAAAAATGTAAGAGGGAAGGTTTGAATTGGGTGTTTTTTTTTTTAAAGTTAATCCAGTGCTAAAAATTAGCTGAGATTAAGTATTTAAAATCAGTCTACAATCATGAGATGATTGCAGTCTTCAGTGTCTTTAGAAACGCTTTACATCTAGTGGGTGCTGAATAATTCTAGATTTTCAGTGGATTTGAAAACACAGCAGTTAGTATATATCCAGCCCAGTGGATGTGTCTGGAAGGGTGTGGCACCTTTTCTGAGAAATGAGAGCCACCCTGTTGTGACTCAATGGGTACAGAATAGGGTGAGGCCTTTCTAAGAGAGCCATTCTTAGCAAGTCAAAGGTGACTTGGCATGAATCAGACTGTGTGCTGAGTATCACAGATGAGTGAGGTGGACTCTTCCCAGACTGAGTGTGTGTGTGTGTGTGTGTGTGTGTGTGTGTGTGTGTGTTTCAAGGTGAGTGTTGTAAACTTGCTGTGTCTTTCTTACCTGTGAAGAACAGGTGGACGGTTTCCTTCTACAAGGACTGAGTAGCAAGAAAGGAGCAAGACAAGATTCTGCTGATAACCATGTTCCAGTGTGGGTGGTGAGGTAGGGGTCCTTAGGAGCAAAGAGGGTAGAGTACTCAGGCTGCAGCTGAACGCTTCCTGCTAGGACTCTCCGTGATGGGGAAGTTAGGCGCAAATGCTAGTGCCCAGAAGTCTGCCTTGCTGTGGGCCACAGTGTCATACTACGAGCAGACATGGGATTTCCTGGCTGGTACTCTGTCTCTGCTGATTAGCACATGGTCCTGGCTTTTTGAGCTATGTGTTTATGTGACTCATGAAAAATTGCTCAGATATTCTTAAGAGCCAAGGGGAAGACTCTTGTTTGGAGCACACCAAAAAGAGATGTTAACATTTCCTGTGTCCATTTATATTTTGAGATAAGGTTTCCTTCAGTATGTAGCCTAGGGTGGTCTGCAACTTAGAGTGATATTTTAAAATTTGCTTTTGTGTATATGAATATTTGCCTACATGTATGGATGTGTACCATGTGCATGCCTGATGTCTAAAGGGGCCAGATCAGATCCCTTCTTAGGGGCAGTTGTAACATGGGTGCTGGGAATCAAACCTGGGTCCTATGGAGGAACATTCACTTCTTGTACTCACAGAGCAAAGCCATCATCTCTAGCCTCTGGGATTACAGTTCTGAGTGCCCACAACTTGCTTTATAGGCCAGGCTAGCCTTGAACTCAGAGATCCACCTGCCCCTACCTCCTGAGTGCTGTATACCACTACTGCCTGGTGCAGTATTGATTTTCAAAGGGTTAGTCTAGCCTTTGTTAAGATGACAGTTAGATGTCTGGTCCTCCAGTTAGAGGTCACTAGGAACTTCTTGGAATTAGCCGGAATAGGGTGTGCTGCTGTTTGCCATGAGGGAAACATACTGGGGACCTTATTATGTAATTGGGGTTATGTAGGACTCAGTGAAAGGGGTTTGCTCTGGCTGAATGCTGTGACAACCTTGTATTTTAGGAAGTCCTACCTCCAGGGTGGTGGGAGGCAGTGGGACTGAAGCTGCTGCTGTTCTGTGCTTCTCCAAGTGAGTGACCTTGGGCTTAGGGAATACCTCTTAGTCTTTATTTCCATGTGGTTGCATTTCATCAGCATGCTCACAGGAGGCCTGGGAGCTTGTGAGAATTTACAGGGACATCTCCACTCAAGTGAAGCTGCCAGCATCAGGCCAGCTCCCAGGGGCTGCTGACTTTTTCGAGGGTCTGTTTTCTTGGGAATGTCTGTCCAGCTTTTTTTAGATTTGCCTTTTCTCTGCTGTGTATGTAAGCTCTGGTCATTTTCCCTATGTGTGGAATCCCTATATTAAATAGGAAAAGAAAAGAAAAATCCAGTTATGAACCTGAACTACAGATAGAAAGTGTTTGGGAGAGAGTAGAATAAATGCCGCCATAGTTCTGTGGTGGTGAGGTTTCAGCCACCTTTTACTGTGCCCTGTCTCATTCTGAAAGCTGGCTCATACTGGGGACAGTACTACTGTCAGGCAGAGGTGTGGAACTACTCTAGCTGTCGTTGGTGTGTGTCTGTGTGACAGAGGTTAGCCTCAGATACTGTCCTTTCAGAGCCACCCTACTCTTTTTGAGGCATGGTCTCTCACTGGGTGCTGGCACTTAGCCATGCCTACCCATCAAGCACTTTACTAACTAAACTGTCTTTCAGCTCTGGCTGTACTTTCGCCTGGTGATATGGGAGTAATAAAGTTACTGGAGACTCACACTCACTCACTAAAGGCATGTTGGGTATCTGGTATAATTACAAGTGTTCTGGTGATCTGAGGAAAGTAGTAAAGTCCCTAGGAAAGATGGGTCAGTGACCGTGACAAAGGAGAGATGGGTGCTGTCACGGGATGGGGAGGAGCAGGGCCACCAGTAGCACAACCCTTTGTGCTTCGCTGTCAGGAAAGCAAGGTTGGAAGGAATTGATGGTAGGAAAAAGGCATCAGAAGCTGACTAATTTAATAAAAAGCCGTATTTAGGCCAAGGGGAGGGGCCATAAAGGAATAAGAAAAGGAAGATGCAGATGGCATAATGCATGCGTAGATCGAAAGTGTGGTTCCACTCCACCCGGAAGATGCTGAAGTGCTAAGGAGAGTAGAGTGAATGAGGCCAGAGGTGCTCCAGCTGTTTTCTGACCTGTCCTGATGACTATCATTGCCACAGTGAAACAGTGATGTTTTTGTTTCGTTTTGTGTGGGGATGCATTGTGTCAGTTTTTAAAGGACACCTTCAGAAATAGCCCATAGATGAAACCTGAGTCCCTGGAAATTAATACTCTTTGAATTGTAAATATGAAGCTTGAGTGAGGTAAAATTAAAATATTGCCTTGCTTGTCTTTACTAGAATTTCTGGGGTTTTCTATATTGGGAGAGTAAGTGGGTCAGTTTTTACTGAGGATAAAAACAAATGGAAAATTTTATGATGGAAATGGGAAAGGTTGTCACTTACAAAATTGCTGTCAAGTGGTGGCTTCTTCAACTCTGATGCAAAGGGACCTGAGTTTGAATAACAATGTTCGTTTGAGTAGGTAACTGCAGTCTGCATCCACACACTCCAGAACTGGGGCAGGAGACTGATGCGCCAGCTTGGCTCCTCTGGAAAGCCTCACTGTTCCTATAGCAGGTGCCTCACCTATCTTTGAGGAGGGTTCCTTTGGCTTGTCTCTGAGAACTGTTGTAGAGTTCTTGAAGATCTTGTCACTACTGGGTGCCATCAGCAGGCCTTTTTATGTTAAGGGACACTTTCTAAACACTTTGAGCTCTGTGGGATGTGTTAAATTCTGGCAAGTGTTACCACAGTGGGAGCGCCTTGGTGGCAGTCCCAATGTTCCCTTCCTTGACTTCCTTGTTGAACTGTGAAGGAGACAGTCCCTTGGCTCCAGGCTTCATGGAGTAATGATTTTGTGGCTCTTGGTTTCTAAGATGTAAAAGTCATTGCACACCTTTGAATTCCTCAGGAGGGCTGAGACAACTTCTGATGAAGACTTAACAGGTTATATTGACTTTTATATTTCTTAGTTTGTACTGAACTCAAGCAAAGTTCTCCTGCATTACTAGGTTGGAGACACAAGTGGTAAAGATAGAACCTCCAGGGGCAGAGACAAGCCGATTGCCGTATGTAAGACTTTCAGTCGACTTCAGCCTCAAGCTTTGTCTCTTCTCTCATTTCACTTAGTCTCCCCAGGAATACCGTTGAGCCTCGGATTCCTTGAGTGTTTTCTATCTGATTCACTCAAGGAGAGGCTTCACTTGATGAAATAAGCTCTCACTGGAGCCTGACTGTTCACTGCCAGTTGATTGAAGTGGTCCATGAACTGCTTGCTTCCCTCCTCCCATGTGAAAGGAGGGGCTCAGGGAAGCCCCTCCCTGGGATGGTGGGCGGTTTTGTGCTGAGCTAGACTAACCTCACTCCCAGGGCCTTTTCTCTTACTCTGGTGTTCTATGTGGTGGGCTGCAGGGGCGGCTGTGCAGTGCTGGTGAGCTAACCCAACTGTGCTTTGAGAGGGTTTGGAATCAACTCGGATGCTGGGAGGCCCTGGTGATTCTCTGATGGGCTTGTGCATGCGCCAGCATTGAAGTAAACAGTATTGTTTATAAAAAGCTGTCGTGTGGGATGTTTCTTTCCTTTTCAGGTACGAGATACCAGCTGGATGGTTGAAGGTGCTAGCTTGGGAACTGTATGCATTTCACAAAATAGCATAATTGCATTTTCTAGGACTGTGTATTGATAAGCCTAGCGTTTTAGAAACTCTTGGGGACATTATTTTATTCAAGCAAATATCTGAATTTCATGTGCAATACACCATATAAGAAGAAAAACTCAGATATTTTATATTTGGCCAGTGATTTCTCTTTAGTAAACACTCTTGAATTCCTTTTCCTTTGCATTCTTGAGGGGAGGGCACAGTTACCCTGGGGGCAAGTTTTCCAGAGGCCCCTGGCTGTGCTTAGGAAGCTGTGACAGTGCTAGGGTGTGGTTGATGCTTGTCATTGGGAAGGAGAAGTCATACTGAGTTCCCTCCCTGGCTGGGAAACAAATCTTTGAACTCCATTTTATGCCAGGGACAGTGACTAGCTGGCTGACTGACGCTAGTGATGATGTAAGAAGGTTTGTGCTTAATGTGCACATGGAGAACTTAATGAAAAGCATATCATGGTAGATGATACGTTTACAATCAACTCTACATCCATGAGCCTGAGACACTGCTTTCAGAAGAGTTTCTGTGTTCATAGTGGTAATCAGGTTCCCAGTTGGGCATGATTAGAAAGTGACCTGGGAATGCGATTTGATACCGCTTGAACCTCAAACAGCCTCCAGCAGTTTTCTCCTGAAGACTGCTTGTCTGGTTTGGTAATGGTTTGGAAGTTACCTGGCTAACTGGGGTGGGATGTGGGTAAGTGGGAAGTTGTGAGGACCTAGCTGCTGGGTGCAGTCGCCACAAAGTGCCTCTGACAGTTCATTATAAGCAGAGTTAAACAGGGCTCTCAGTCAGTTTAAGATTGTCCTCTACATGTTGCCTGTGTTTCCTTTCTGTAGGATGTGTTCTTAATTTGCTTTTCCCTTGTGAGCCCTGCATCATTTGAAAATGTCCGAGCAAAGGTAAGTGCCACTTATGGAGTACTTGTTGCATAATGTCACTCTCAGAAATAAATATTAAAAAGTAAAATTAATGCCATTAGCTGGTGGGAACTTTGAATTGTTTAGCTTGACTTTAGTAACTGTACTGAAGGAATGGTCCATTTTAAAGTCCGTGGCTTTAGACTGTGGGTATCTAGAACTTAATTTCTTTGGGAAGCAGGCTCTCGTCACAGCTGTGCCACGCACTTGAGGATTGAGCTAGTGACCATTTCTTTCTGCTCCAGCATCATGTACCAACTTAGTGAAAAGGGTGAGGGACCCTGTTGGTGTAGAGATGGGGGCCATGGTGGGAACAGTGGAGCTGTGTGGCTTCTATGTTCTCATCCTTGAGCTGATGGTGAGTTTTCTAGGGTGGTCCTATAAATTAGATTTCTTTTCCTAAAAACAAAAGCGATTTCCTTTAGGGGTGCTTTCCATACTGCCCTTTTGTCCTAGTTCTTGATGGGTGGGGTCTGTTGTGTTATCCTCTGTCTTGGGGCGCCTGGCTAGCCATGGTATACATGGTTCCTTAAGGCTCGAGTAGAAGGCAGGGAAGCTCTGTGGGGTAGCTGTGACCAGAGGTTTGGCACTCACTGCATAGAAGCTGGGTGAAAGAAGTGTACAAGAGAGTGTCATGGCCTTGTTTCTTTCTTCTCATCTAGTGGTATCCTGAAGTGCGACACCACTGTCCCAACACTCCCATCATCCTAGTGGGGACGAAGCTTGATCTCAGGGATGATAAGGATACAATTGAGAAGCTGAAGGAGAAGAAACTGACTCCCATCACCTACCCGCAGGGGCTAGCCATGGCAAAAGAGATCGGTATGAAACCCTCATTTCTTGTGTCTGCTTTGTAGTCTTTAGGACAAGCAGCTGGAGTCTGTCCAAGAAAGGGGTCTTTTGCTTTGGTCACCCAGCCAAGCCAGGCCTTTGCTGATCTTTGTGTTGATGTGGGAGTTGGCTGCCGAGCCACGCTTAGTCCAAGGGAACTGTTCTGGTTGTAAGTCCCATTGCCTCTGGAGTAGCTATCAATGCCTATGACTGTCTTTTCTAGGCGCTGTCAAATACCTGGAGTGCTCAGCGCTCACACAGCGAGGCCTCAAGACAGTGTTTGATGAAGCTATCCGAGCGGTTCTCTGTCCACCTCCTGTTAAGAAGAGGAAGAGAAAATGCCTGTTGTTGTAAATGTCTGAGCCCCTCATTCTTGGTCCTGTCCCTGGAACCTTTGTACGCTTTGCTCAAAAAAACAAAACAAAACAAAAAAAACGGTGGAGCCTTCGCATTTGATGCCAAGTTTTTGTTACAGATTAATTTTTCCATAAAACCATTTTGAACCAATGAACCAGTCAATAATTTTAAGGTTCTGTTTTAGATGTAAGAATTCCAACTTATGGTCTATTAAAATTCAGCCCTAAATGACAAGCCTTCTTAAAGCCTTATTTTTCAAATCCCCTATTCTTGCTCAGATTAAGAATTGCCAAAATACCTTCTGAACTAAGTTGCGTTGTGCTGAGAACACTACGCACTAAACTGTTGAGACTTTTGTTTTTAAGAAGACTGCAGCTTCTGGAATTGGGGTACAGACCCTTCCCTAGTTTCCAGACCGTGTGACGCAGCAGCACAGCCTCCTTAACGACACGTTGCCATGTAACGCACCTGTAACTTATCAGCCCATGTTCATGACATAACTTTGTACTGTATGTCTCAGTGAGTGAGTTTTAACAGCTCAGCCTTTGATTTCATAGTGAGCTTTCTGAAACCCCAGTTGACTAGCTTTTGCAGACTTTGAACAGAACTCTGGTTCCCGTGTTGCCTCTAATGAAGTATTCTGTTCCTAGTCGTGGGTGTGCTGGGTGGAGTGTGTGAAACACGACATGATCAAAGGATAAAGACAGTATTTTGACTAATATGAAGTAGAGATTACTTTACACTACATTGTACATGGAGTAATTCAACTGAATAAAAGTGTCACGGGTAAAGATTTTTAACGGTTAATTTCTGTCAGACACAGTAGATGACAAATGGCCGGTCTTATCAGTGTCTCTCCATCTTTTCCTTTCCCCTACACTGCCGTCCCTCCCCAGATAGGGTGTTGAATCCATATTTAAACTGGCCACCCCCTCATGGTTGCTAACTTAGCAAGTGCTTTTCTTTAGGACCACCTTCTTAACGAGCAATATGTCTGACCTGTACTATAAGATCTTTCTGATAATGCATTTGACGTTTTTTTCTTTTTTCTTTTCTTTAGGTAGATTAGTAGAAGTGCATTCCTGTTTTCACCTTTATTCAAGCTAATAAGTGCTTTCCTTAGTTTTCTAGTAACTAGGTGTAAAAATCATGTGTTGCAGCTTTACAGTTTTTAAACTATTTTAGATAATTCTTAAACTATGAACCTTCTAAACATCACTGTCTTGCCAGAATACCAACACTGTCATGTGACTAATGCTGCCCTCTAGACCTCACCCATGTGGACACACTTCCTGTGGTAGCTCTGCCTAGAGATGTTCCTTTGGGTCTGTGAGGTTCTGTCAACTGCTAGTGCTAACGCTGTTCTGTACAACCTAACTCACTGGCAAGAACACAGTGTTGGGCCTTCCAACCACTAGAACAAACTTTTTTCAATTGACAGTTGCAGAATTGTGGAGTGTTTTTACATTGATCTTTTGCTAATGCGGTTAGCAGTATGTTTTGCATGTATGACTTAATAAATCCTTGAATCATACAACTGGTCATGCTTGTGTTTTTGGAACTTGACAAACAAGCTCTTGGTATGTTTGCCTCACTTTAAAACCCTGAATTGTTGGAGATGTGCTTCTCACACTTGAGGGGTTGAAGGAGTGCCACCTTCAGGGAAAAGGGTAGGTGACTCCACAGGCACACAAGGCAGCAGGGGTGACGTTCATGTTCAGTCTTGTTGAGGTGCTCATGTGAAGATGCCTGCAGTGGGGTGTGTCTGCATGAGCATGTGCCTGTGGGAGATGTGCCAGAATTGAGTTCTAAAGATGGGGAAGCTGAGCTGCAGGATTTGGTAGGACCACATCTTGATCCTTCGGAAACCTGCATGTGCATTGCTATGTGGCCAGTTAGAATTGTCGTTCATTGGTGATTCTTGCACTTTGAATCTTTAAAAGTCATATTACTTGTGTATGTGGGTGTGAACATGGCACAGCACATGAGGTCAGAGGGCAGCCTTTAGGAGTCTGTGCTCTTCCCACCCAGGGATTGAACTCAGGCTGTCAGGCTTGGCGGTGGGTGCCCTTACCTACTAAGCCATCTTACTGGCCCCAAACCAACCTACCTTCCTTTCTTGAGATGGGGCTCATTATGTAGTGTTGGCTGCCCTCTAGCTCCTGCTGCCTCTGCCTCCCTAGTGCTGCAATTAAAGGACTGTGCCACCACACCCAGCTCCAAACTTTTTTCTTTTAACCATAGTTAAACAGCAGTAAAGACAAGAATGTTAGCCCTGCCTGACCCATTCCAGAGACAGGCCTTCCTGTCTCCTTTTGAAGATTTAGGAGTGATTTGCTCAAATGTATGTATGTGTACAGTGGGAATATACAATGCCCACAGAGGTCAGAAGAGGATTTTGGTGGTTGTAAGCTACCATGTGGGAGTTGGGGACCAGACCTGGGTCCTCTGTAAGAGCAAGAGCTTTTAACTGCTAAGCCAGCTCTCCAGGCTCCCAGTCTAAAATTTTTTCTTCCCTGAGACTAGGTTTTTCTGTTTAACAACCCTGACTGTTCTGGAACTTGCTTTATAGACCAGGTTGGCCTAGAACTGAGAGATCTGCTTGTCTCTGTCTCCTGAGTGCTGGGATTACAGGTGCCAAGCTGTTTCTCCAGTCTAAATTTTGATGTTCACCTTCACCACAATGTTCGGCCACAGCTCTTGATCCAATGAGGAAGGATGTGAGGGATGATGCCTCCCAGGTACCAGCCCAACACTGTCTTCATTCTCTTCAAACATCGAGTGTCCAGTAGACATGATTTTATACGTATGTAAACGTCAAGTTGTATCCATGACAACGGAACTTGGTCTCTCCTGCACTTCTAGTTTCCTTAGTATAATGCTTTAATTGTTCTATGTATTTGTGAAGAGTTAACTAAACTTCTTGGCTTACCAACCTTAACATGATTTCTCAGTGATTCTCTCTTTTTTTTTTTTTTTTTTTTTTTTGAAGACAGGCTCTCTCAATCTTGCACGTCACTGGTTGGCTAGACAGGCTGGTCAATATGCCTTTCCTGTCTACCTCTCCAGGACAGTTTGAACTTACGTCCTCACACCTGCCTGACAAGACTTGACCAAATCATCTCTACCTCTCTTGTTGAATCTTAAGATACACTATTTTTGATCACATTGCAGGATCATCTGGCCATCAAATTTTTATATTCTACACAACTCCACAGTCTACTTACCCGAATTTCATCCCTGAGGGCTTTCATCTTAATAGCCATTCTACTGGGCACTTCACTGGGTCTAAAATTCCCTTCAGGATTTTTTGTGTTTGTTTTATGAGAAGGGATCTCACTATGTATCTCTGGCTATACTAGAACTCACTCTAGACCAGGCTGGTCTCACACAGATCCACCTGCCTATGCCTCCCAAGTGCTGGGATTAAAGGTGTGTGCCACTATGCCCAGCCCCTTCAGATTTCTGACCCAAGTCATTTTTGGTTTTTACCTCAAAAAAAATTTTTTCTATACTGGGGTATACTCTTATAGAGACAGGGTCTTACTATGGTCCTGGGTGACCTAGCACTAGACCAGGCTATCCTTGAACTCACAGAGAATGGGTTGCCTCTGCTCTGCATTGCTGGGATTAAAGGCATGGCACCACCATACCTAGCATGTGTACTTATTAATATATCTTGTGAGTTTTCCCTTTAGTCTTTAGCCTCCTTTTGGGATTTTGTATGGAGACAGCATCTGGAGTTAGCACATGATAGCCTGGGTCTTTTTAAGTAGCTGAGTGTGACCTCCAGTTCCTGGTCCTGCCCCCATCTGAGTACTAGGAATAACAGCTTCAAATCACTACCATACTTTGGTGTCTTGTGCTTGGTGGATTCTTTGTATTTGGAGTATGTGTAGTCCTCAGTAGCCAGAGACAAAAGACAACTTGATTTTCAATAAAATAAAAAAAAGCAAAACCCCTCCCTCATTGTCCCCTGGGTATGACGGTGCATGCTTGTAATCCCAGCACCAAGAGACTAATGCAGGGAGTCCGTACATTGGAGGCTAGCGTGGGCTACTTAGCAAGTTCTTGTACCCCAGTAACAAACCTCCTCAATGGTCAGTGATGGTGTATCAATTACTTTATTTTAAAAAATTCCCTCTGAGCCCAACACCTGGCTCCAGATCTAGAATAATGTGAGAAGTAAGCATACATCAAAGTTGGACATTGATTCATGTTGTATAAATGAGGAGCCGCAGTGCTGGGCACATAGGAAGCTCTGGCTGCCCTTAGTGCCGCATTAAGAATGACAGTAAGGAATATAAAGTGCACACTTATCATCGTCTTAAGTTCAGACTCATGTAAACAGCAGGATGGGATCCTAGCGGGGGTGGGGTGCTAGAGATCCACCCAGGGTCTTCAGATGTGGAGTTCTTGAGGGGTGGGGGAGAGGAGGCTTGCTCCATGAGCTGTCCCAGAAGTCAACACTTGTGCATGGTCCCAACTCCTGATCCTGTTAATACTATGGCAAAAATGGTTCTATAGGCCATCAGCGGTGTTGCACACCTTTAATCCCAGGCAGTTGGATCTGAGTTAGAGGCCAGCCTGGTCTACATTGAGTTCCAGGACAGCCAGAGCTACACACAGAAACCCTGTCTGGGGGAAAGAGTTTCTATAAATTGTATGGTCATAATGATGCCCATTATACTTGGACCCATCAGCTTTCTGTTGATGAGTGCCACCATACCAGCCTCACAGAAGCCACTCACATTCAGTCTAAGAGGAAAAAAAAGGCGCAAACCCATTGTGTTGGGCAGTGTCCAGTAGAGGGGGTTAAGCCACAGCTGCCTGAGAGCCACCTTGCCCTGGGCAGGAGACACAGGCTGTGTTGTCGGCCACCACTCTGTCCAGGGCCTGGTTCAGGATGTTAGGCAAGTGGTCAGTCAGCATCTTTGGGCCTATCAGGATCTTGCCAAATTCTGCTTCATGTGCCCACCTAGCCCTGTACCGGGCAGCGGAACAGCAGCCAAACCTTGAACAGAAGAGAACACCGGCTGGTGAAGCTGCACGTGGGCCAGGCTTCTGGCCACCCTCAGTGGATGGGCATGTGCCTCCCTCCACACTCACCTCCCTGAGCCACTCTCTTCTTCCAGGTGGATGATCCTGCCGGGTGGGTACAGAGGTGGGTATTTGGTGGGAGAGTCCAGTGGGGAGTCGCTGGAGCTGTAGCCTGGAGAGCATCGTGTCAGCAGGCTCTGCTCCCCAAGAAGAGGCTGAGTCAGGGCTCCCTGGTTGCCCTCATCCAGTTCAGTCGGAGAGTTATCAGGGCTTCCGCCAAACAGTCCATACCAACAGCCGTGCAGCAGGATCTTGTACTGAAAGGACGAGATTGGCCCTGCGCTGGGTGGCAGCCCTCAAGGCTCAGCCTGCCCTTCCACAGCCATGGTTGTGAGTGGGGCTTGTGGTGCCATGAAGCAACCGTACTAGCAGTAGTAGTTAAAAAATAAGTCATGTGCTTTGAAAAACCGTTATTTTTTTGTGCCGGAGATTAATCCCAGAACTAAGCCCTATACCTGGTAAACCCATGCTCTACCATGGAGCTGGCGGAGACAGGTGACAGGTTTTCTTAAAAAAACGATTAGGAAGACAGCCCTGTGCTGTCTTTAATACCAACACTCAGGAAGCAGAGGCAGGAGGCTCTAGTGATTTTGAGGCCAGCCTGGTTGACAGAGCAAGTGCTAGGACAGGCTCCAAAGCTACACAGAGAAACCTTGTCTCAAAAAACCCAAAAAAAAAAAAAAAAAAAAAAAAAGCTGGGCACTGGTGGCACACGCCTTTAATCCAGCACTCGGGAGGCAGAGGCAGGAGGATCTCTGTGAGTTCAAGGCCATCCTGGTCTACAAATCGAGTTCCAGGACAGCTTCCAAAACAATACAGAGAAACCCTGTCTCAAAAAACCAAAAAAAAAACCAAAACAAAACAAAACTAGATGTCTGATGAGCGAGCATTAAAACTGGAGATGAAGGTGACAGAGCGCAGGCACCTGCAGTCCCACTGCCCACATAAAGCCACACCTCGCACAGATTTTTTTGGATATTGTCAAAATTCCCATTGATACGTACCTATTTTTTTATTTTTTATTTTCATTTTTTTGTTTTTTGAGACAGGGTTTCTCTGTGGCTTTGGTGCCTGTCCTGGAACTAGCTCTTGTAGACCAGGCCGGTCTGGAACTCACAGAGATCCGCCTGCCTCTGCCTCCCAAGTGCTGAGACTAAAGGCTTACACCATGACTGCCCAGCCATACCTATTCTTTAATACTATTTTTAATCATATTTATTTTGTATGTTCCTGGGATGGCATGGGCGTGCACAGGACAAACTGGGAGCTGGAGCTGGCTCTGGCTCTCTCCTCTAGGTTCCAGGGACTGTACTCAGACTGGGCTTGGTGCCACATGGCATACCCCCGCTAAACAGTCCCACTAGACTTCCCTTCCTTTTTTAAACTTACCCCAATAGCAGGCAACAAAATGAGCGCCTCAAGCGTGCTGGGCAACTGTTCTACCACTGGGCTCTAGCCCCGCCCCTCCTTGGCTTCCTCTTCCTCTTGGCCTCACATTTTTGGCAGTCACACCTCAGTCTCCCAGCTGCTGGATTATAGGCCAACACCATTACACAACCTCATAGAGGTCAGCTCCTATTGGCTAATACACTTCCTCTTTTCCTGTGTGTGGGGGTTTGAACCTAGAGCCTCTTGAATGCTAGGGAAGTGCTCTACCACTAAGCTACACTCTCAAGCGGCTGCCATTAAAATTTCCCTATTACATTTATTTATTTAATTGCATGTGTGTGGAGATGAGGACTGGAGGGAGGTCCTCCCCTCCCACTGTGAGGACTGAAGGCAGGTCAGAAAGTTGGGCAGCAAGCACGCTTCCCCACAGAGCCGTCTTGCCAGCCCCCAGAACCTCTTGGAGTCTGGGAGCAATGTAACCAAAAGCACGGGGAAGATGCAGTAACAGCAGCGTGGGCAGCAGTGCTACCTACGGACCTGGCACTCCGTGCGATTCTCTGCATCTCATGCAGTGCCGGAGTGTTCCCAGGGCAGGAGGAGAAGATGCGAGCACCAATGTGCTGGGCCCAGAGGACGTGACTGCAAGCCACTCTGCATGGACCCGCCCGCATCTAACCCAGGCTGAGCAGTTACCTTCGGCTTGTTGCAGTTAGCAATCACTCGCAAGATCCTTCTCTTCAGATCCTCCATGTTGGTCACGCTTAACCTGGTTAGTAAAAAGCAGACTGATCTTAGTACCTCGTGTTGCTGACTACCCTGACCCCGTGGACCAACCTTGAGGGACACTGACCTGGGAATCACATCCATTCCTAGGATAAGTGACACAATGAAGTCCTTAGAGTACTCATAAAGGGATTTGCTGAAATTTCAAATGAGAGACAAGGTAAATTAGTGTACGGTCCATTACTGCGGGAGACTTCAGAACGAGAATAAAACAGCTGCCAGGGCAGATGCTGGTGTCGTCATTCTGCATCCTCTAAAGGACAGAAGAGTGACATGGGCACTCCAGGGTGAAGTCAAAGCCACAGAAGACATTCAGAAAGAGACCACAGCTAAACCATCAAATGGCCCATGACCTAGCAGGCCCAGAAAGCACGAGGTGCCCTGGCAATCCATGAGCAGTCAGAAGCAAAAGGCTAGTCCCTGCAGTGTTTACCTGCAAAGACAGACGCTAGCCCTACAGTGGCACAGGCCTGTAATCCCAACCACTCAGCAGGGAAAGGCAAGAAGACTGACCTACCAGGGACAGACTGAATTGAAGGCCAGCCTTATTCCCATCTAGCACTTAAGCAGTAGATGGAGAAGGACTGAGAATTAGGGCTAGCCTGGGCTACACAGTTAAGACCCTGTCTACAAATCATTAAAAAGTAAATATGTAAATAAGTCATAAAGGTAAAACTCACCTAAAGAAATGTCTACTTCTGGTATGAACGGACTTTTCTTTTTTTGAGAGAGAGTGAGAACAGAAAATAGCAGAAATACTGGTTTTACAAAATTGTCTCTGGAATTATGTTGATATCCGTATCCTAATTTAGAAAAGTTAAATAACAGCAAAAGAATCCCTAAAATCAAGCTCATAGTGTATTTTCCAAACTGAGCAGGGCTCTGTTCTGGGGCACACATATAGTCCCAGCCCTTGGGAGACTGAGGCTAGCCTGGGCTACATAATGAGATCTAGGCCAGGCTCAGCTACACTGTGAGACTGTCTCAAAACCCAAAAGCAAACCCACAGTATTTCTGCATCTCCCCCATTTTTCTGGCATGAACTCTACCTCACCACAGGCAGATACTTAACCAGTTCTTTATGTTATTTTCAGCTAGTTAGTGCAGGAGGAATGGAAATCCACGTTCCATCCCCTCTCCTCTGATAAAGTCCATCTGAGGAAATGACTGTTACTGCTAACACTAAGGGGAGATGGTGACAAAGGTTGGCTCTAAGTGTGACCAATGGAAGTATATATAGTGCTAAACCATGCACTCCAAATCAGATCTACTCCTCAGTGGTCGCTTGCCAGGTGTGACAGTGCGCACACATCTTTAATCCCAGCACTCAGGAGGCAGACCGGGTTGATGTCTATGAGTTCAAATTCAAGCAAGGGCTACACAGTGAGACCCTGTCTTGAAAACAAAATTTAAACCACAACAAAAGATCTTTGATCTGTTTTCTGTATTTTTCAAATTTTCTGATGGAGCTGGGTGTTGGTGGCACACGCCTTTAATTCCAGCACTCGGGAGGCAGAGGCAAGCAGATCTCTGTGAGTTTGAGGCCAGCCTGGTCTACCGAGTGAGTTCCAGGACAGCCTCCAAAACAATACAGAGAAACCCTGTCTCAAAAAAAAAAAAAACCCACAAAAAAATTCTGGTGGATATGTAGTGTTTTGTTGTTGTTTTTACTTTTTATTTTTAATCCTTAATTTGTTTTAATCTCTTATCAACAGTTTACATAGGATAGTCCAGTCAACATGCTCAACTAGCAACAAAAAAACAGTTTAAACAGTTTTCCAACTCATAAAAATAAATGTCCTGTTTGTTCAACCCCAGAGAGCGTGCACCATCCAGGGGAAGCCCATACACAGGATGGATGCTAGGTGACATGATGTGTCACCGGAGGCCCATCATAAGAGGTGCACAGCCGGGGTCCAGGGAGGTCGCGGGCAGCAGGGGAGGCACACATGGTGGGCACAGAGGATGTGGTAATTCTGTTACAAAAGGGCTCAGCAGGTAAAAACACTGCCAAGCCTGATGATCTAAATTCAATTCTGGGACCGATGCCTCCAAACTGTCCTCCACGTGTGGCATATTGTGGCACAAACAGACCCACACATACACGTTCATGCTCATACAGAGAAATGGCAATTAAAACAAACAAACAAAAACAAAAACAAAAAAGGAAGTGTTTGCGGCTAGAAAAATGTTCAGTGGTTAAGAGTGTTTACTGCTCTTCCAGAGGACCCAGCAACCATTCGGGGTGGCTCACAAGCACCTGCAGCTCCAGGTGAGGGGAACGGATGCCCTCTTCTGGCTTCCATAGACATCTGCACACATGTGGCAGACACTCACACAGACATACATATAAATAAAATATAGTTTGAAGTTGTTGTTTTTTAAAGTGGTTTTGGGAATTGAACCCAGGGCTTCACACAAGGTAGACAAGTGCTCTACCATTAAGCTACATTCCTAGTCCTAAAATAATTGTCTTTAAAAGTCAACTTTCGGGGCTGGAGAGGTCTCAACAGTTAAAAGCACAGGCTGCTCCTCTAGAGGACTCAAGCTTGGTTCCCAGCACCCAGGTTGGGCAGCTCACAACTTCTGCAACTCCAGCTCCAGGGTATCCCAGTGCCTCTGCCCTCTGTAGGTACTGGAACACGTGTATACACACAGGTAATTACAGAAAGATCTTTAAAAACCAACTAAACAACAACAGCAAAAACCTTAGAATTCTATCATTTAGCCAGATCTATAATTTCAGCTACTATGGAGGCTAAAACATGAGGATCAGAACAATATCTCCCTTGGTTCCATAGCAAATCCCAGGCCAGCCTGGGCTACTTAGGAAATTAGAGGTATTGGCCAGGCATCTAAAAGGACTACAATTCTCTTGCCTCTGCCTCTTGAGTGCTTCCCTCACGGGCATGCACTACCATGTTCAATTTACATAGTCTTCCTTTGGTGACATAGTAGTTCTTTTCCCTTTTGACACAAGGTTCCATGTAGCTCAGGGTGGTCTAACCCATTATGTAGCCAAAGAGAACCTTAACCCTGTAATCCGCCCACTGCAGCTTCTCTGGTGCTGGGATGACAGGCATGGGCTACCCCAGGCTAGGTGTATGCAAGGTGAGCTACCAGCTGGGCCACATCTCCACACTACACAGTGTTTCAAAACAAACTTCTGAGAGGGAGAGAAAATGAAATTATATAAATAAAAGAGCAGCGACTTGACTTGTCCTGCAGAAGAGTGAAGCCTTACCTCAGGAGCCCCCTGGGCGGGGAGAAGGCATAAGCGCGGACTTGTGGGTAGGCCCTTCGAAGCATGATGGCTAACAGGGCTGCAGCTCCAGCTCCTAGGCTGTGTCCCACCAGAACGAGCCGATACTCCTAGGGGACAGAGGGCAGAGGGTGTTGAGGCCCAGAAGAACAGACAGAATGTGACAGGAACAGAAAACAGAATGAGCGATCTCACCGGAGCAATACTGAAGGCTTGGCTCAGAATCCCATCATTGACCAGTCTGCGGTAAACGTATCTGGCTGCTTGAGCAATTCCCTGAAGGAATAGAAGGGGTGGGGTCAGCATGGCTCAGAAGTCTGCCTCCGGCCTTACTGTTCACTGGTCCATTCTTGGCCTGTGGTCCAGAGGCTAGCTGCCATGAAGTGGGTGCTGACACGCATCCAAGCCAGTCAGTGGCAGCAGGAACATCCATCTCCACATCTGTGTAGCTCTGTGTACTCGTCCATATCTGCACTACACTCGACTGAATCAATCATCTAATGACCAAGGACGAACCTGGGGCCCTAGCATATGCGGAGCAAGCAATCTACCACTGAATTAGGCCAGACCTTTCAGAACTTTTTTTTATGAGCTGGAGAAATGAATCAATGATTAAAAGTCCTTCTATCAGAGGACCAGAGTTCAGTGCCTAACACCCACATTAAGCAGCTCACAGGTACCCATAAGTCCAGCATCAAGGGGTCTATTGCCCTCTTCTGGTCTCCATGGGCATGTGCACACAGACAAACCCACCATAACTATATCTTCTAAAAAATAATTATTTTAAGTAGGGTGTTGGTGGTACACGCCTTTAATCCCAGGACTCAGGAGGCAGAGGCAGGTGGATGGTCTACAGAGCAAGTTCCAGGACAGGCTCCAAAGCAATACAGAGAAACCCTGTCTCGAAAAACCAAAATAAAATAATTTTTGAGATGGTATTTAAGTTGCCTAGTCTGGCTCTCAATTTGCTATGTTAGCCAGCCAGCAACCCTTGCACTGTGTGCTGTGTGTGTGTGTGTTGTATTCACAGATGTGTGAATTCAGTCCCCATGTGTGCACATGTGGAAGCCAGGGGTCAACTCTTGGTACCTTTGCTCTCTACCTTATATTTTGAGACAGGGTCTTCCACTGAACCTGAAACATCCTGACTCTGCTACACTGGCAGGCTACTGAGCCTCTGGAATCTGCCTGTCATTCCCTCCACCAGCCTCCACCAGACCTGGGGTTCCATAACCAGCTCTTTACATGGCTGCTGGGGATCCAAACTTGGGTCCTTATTCTTGGATTGCGAGCTCTTCACACGGCACCATCCTCCCAGCCCCAAGCCTTGCACTTTTGCTCCTCCTGCTCAGCTTCCCAAGTGCTGTGCCACCATGCCCCATGATCTTTTTATAAAGACATTAAAACACACCACTTAGGAATAGCCATGTTGGAACAGTGGATAAAGATGCCTGCGGCTGAGCTTGACAACACGAATTTGATTTTTGAGACCTGTTGTTTGAAATTATTTTTACTCTTTTAGGTTTTTGGCTCTTTTGGGGGGCCACCACCCAGCTACCAAGTAAGTCACACATGGAAGCTTATTCTTACTTATGAATGCCCAGCCTTAGCTTGGCTTGTTTCTAGCCAGTTTTTCTTATCTTAAATTAACCTGCCTACCGTTTCCCTCTGGGCCTTTATCTTCCTTACTTCTGGTTATCTTACTTTCTTCCTATTCCGAGGCTGTCTGGGTGGCTGCCCCTGACATCCTTTCCTCCTTCTCTTGCTGCTGCTCCTCTTTTCCTCATTTCTCCTTCCATTTATGCTCTCTGCCTGCCAGCCCCACCCGTCCTTGCTCCTGACTCGCTACTGGTCGTTCAGTCTTTATTAGACCATCAGGTGTTTTAGACAGGCAAAGAAACACAGCTTCACAGAATTAAACAAATGCAGCATAAACAAAAGTCACACACCTTAAAATGATATTCTACCACATATACTCACACACACACACATATATAGTTAAAATGATATTCTACCACTGGGCGGCGGTGGCGCACACCTTTAATCCCAGCACTCGGGAGGCAGAGGCAGGCAGATCTCTGTGACTTCGAGGCCGGGCTGGACTGACAGCCTCCAAAACAATACAGAGAAACCGTCTCGTGAACCCCCCTCCAAAAAAAAACCACAGAGACCCGAGTGGTGGATGAAGAGAACCAACTCTATTCATTATTCTCTGGCATACATGTCATCACACACACACACACACACACACACACACACAGAGAGAGAGAGAGAGAGAGAGAGAGAAAGCTGAGTGATAAGACGTGAGTCCCCTCTTCAAACTGAAAGATCATGAACCAAAGAAAGCAGAGGAAGGTAAGAAAGCCATTTATTAGTGTTTCGAGCTTTTCAAGCTACAGCTGATAGGTGAAGGGTACACTTTGAGAGTGGGGTACATTCACAGGTTATGTGGTAATAAAAGCCTCCCAAACAGTGGTCCAGGGGCTCTGGTTTTGTGACTTACTTTTTTTTAAAATCAATTTTCTGGAACTGGAGTTACAGTTGTGAGCTGCTATGTGGGTGCTGGGAATCGAACCCAGGTCCTCTGGAAGAGTAGCTAGTGTTCATAACTGCTGAGCTGTCTCTCCAGCCCTGTGGCTTACTCTTGTGTTGGAAAGGCAGATGCTGCAATGTATGCTCCACCACATGAGGTTGACGTTTGTGGAGGAGAACCAAATTTCCAGAGAGTTCTCTTAAATTAAGTCTGGTTGCCTGTTTAACAGTGAACAACATGCTTTTGGTAGTGTGAACAAAGATTTGGAAGAATGTAAGTTAAGAAACTACTTTGGCAGCTGGAGAGGTGGCTCAGTGGTTAAGAGCATTTACTACTCTCACAGACAGAACCAGTTTCAATTTCCAACTCCCTTAACAGGTGAGTCACACCTGCCTGTAGCTCCAATTCCAAGGAATCTGGTGCCCTCTTCTGGACTCAGTGGTTACTGCAAACATATGGTGCCCATAGAGACAAGCAGGCATGTGTGCACACAGAGAAATAAAAATACCTTTTAAAAAGACACTATTTTGAGAACTACAACAAGATTGAAATGATTTATGAAAGACAGGCAGAGTGGGGAAAGGGAGGATTTTCTTATTTATTTATGGGAGACCTGCTAATGTAGTCCAAGCCAGCCTCAAACTCACACATGTAGCCAAGTCTTATGCTTCCAAGTCTCCTGCTTCCGCCTCCTGAGTGCTGAGATTACAGGTATGCACCACCACACCCAGCTCATGTGACACTGGGCACTGAACCTAGGACTTCATGCATATAAAGCAAACACTACTGAGTCACACCCCGGCCCTGCTTCTGAAGAAGGCCACCCCTTTTTCCTGTGTGTGAGTGTGTGTGTGTGTGTGTGTGAATGTGTGTGTGTTAGTGTTCATGCACATGAGTGTAGACTCATACCTGCCACAGCAGGCAGGTACAGGTCTGAGGACACCCCAAGGTGTTGATCCTTGCCTCTTACTTTGAAACTGGATTTCTTGTTTGCCTCTGTCTATGCTGGGCTAGCGGGCCCTGGAACTTCTGGGGATTTCCCGGTCTCCATCTTCCCAGTGTGGAGACTACAGATGCCCACTTGCTGTTTAAACTAGGCTGGCCAGCCAGCACTGCCTAGAATCAGCCTGCTTCCACCCAACCAGTGCTGACATTACAGATGTGCAACTGCCATGGCCAGCTTCTTTATGTGAGTACTAGATATCCAAATTCATTCTCAAGCACGTCACCCGCAGAGCCATTTCCCTGGCCCCATTCAACTAAACTGATTTAAACACCCAACCTAGGTTTAGGGAGACCCCAGCTCAAAAAATAAAGTGGAAAGCAACTGGATAAGACAGTTAGCGTCAACCTCTGACCTTCATATGCACATATACACACATGCACATGAACCTGCACATACACACAGGCACACACACACAGAGAGAGACAGAGAGAGAGAGAGAGAGAGAGAGAGAGAGAGAGAGAGAGAGAGAGAGAGAGAGAGAGAGAGAGAGAGAGAGAGAGAGAGAGACGCACACACATAGAGACACGCACACGGACACCGATAAATACTAGAAAAAACAACCTCACAAGGAGAGAGAATAAAATAGAGGCTATCAGAGCTGGAAGTGAGGCCATTAGTATGTAATAAGCCCAGAGCCAACATCAGGGTTCATCCAAAATTAGGGTTTAGATAGCAAAGATGGGCATACAACATTGCATAAACACATGAAGGCACTGAATTGAAACATCACAAATGGTTAAAATGATAAATGTTATACATTCATCTATCATCCACATAACCACCATCCATCCTTTTATCCATTCATTATCTATCCATTCATCCATCCACTCTCCCACCCATCCATCCACTCATCCACACACCGGTCCATCCATCCATTCACCCATCCAGCTCCCCATCCACCCATCTATCTATCCATTCATCCAACAATCCATCCGCTCACTCACCCACCCACCCATCCATTCATCTCTCCTTTCAGCATCCATGTATCTATCTTCCCATCCATCATGTGTCTTTTGGTTTGTTCAGAGAAAGTCTCACTACATAGTTCACGATGGCCTGGACCTTGCTGTGTAGACAAAACCAGCCTGAAACTCATGATCCTCCTACCTAAGAGTCTTCACATCTGGAGTTATTATACTTGCTTTACAATGTTTAAAAGCCATTTCACACACATACCCATTTGAGGTTGGGTTTTCTTCTCCAAGGAGGAACTCTGCCCCACTTACTCCCACAGAACAGGAAGAGAGAAACAGAGAACTAGGCTCTGGCCACATCCACAGAGAACTTGTGGGAAGTGAGTTGTCCACCCTGTGCTACCCACAAAGCCGGAGTTCTTGCTCTGTGCTCTACTTTGGACTAAGCATTTTCCCACTAAGATATTAAACTTTAATTACAGGGGAAAGTGACTGGGGATATAGTGCAGCTAATACAATGTTTGTCTAGCGTGTATCAAGCTCTGGGTTTGATTCCTAACCTGTAATTCCAGTGGATGCAAGAGGATCACAAAGTTCAAGGTTATCCTTAACTACAAAGTGAGTTAGTTATAGGCCAGCCTGGGCTGCATGGGACTCTTGCCTAAAAAGGGGGGGGGGATGAGGCCAGGTGGTCTCATCACACGCCTTTAATCCCAGCACTTGGGAGGCAGGGGCAAGTGTATCTCGGTGAGTTCAAGGCCAGCCTGGTGTACAGAGTGAGTTCCAGGACAGCCAGGACTGTTACAGAGAAACCCCGTCTTGAAAAACCAGGGGGAAAAAAGGGAAGGAAAGACAGGGAAGGAAGGACAGCCTGCCTCAAGTATTTTATCTGATAGTCCACCCTCTGGCTGCAGCTGTGTCACTCATGCCATCTCTTTGAGTGTCCCCTCTCAACACAAACATACCTTGTGGGCCACACAGTCCTGCAGCTCAATATCCAGCTCAAGGTTCTCGCTCTCTGCAGACAGGTCAGTCAGGACATCCTGTGAACATGGACACAGCAGCGTCAGCCTACAGAGTGCACAGTGGGCGAGGGCCGCACGTGTGGGGATGGAGAGTCAGGACACTCTCTGCAATGGCAGACAGCACAATGAGACTGCTGAGAGAGATGTGCCCAGCCTCAGCAAAAACACAGCCGAGGCAGCTTCTGGCTGGGTACCAGGCAGGAATGGCAGTGATGGAAGGGACATCTAGAAACACTGTTATCTTTCGCTCTGCAATCTAAGGGTCTTCCCAGCCAGAGCACAAATTGGGGTTTGAACAGAGCTCTGCTTCTGTCCTCTGGAACCCACATCCAATGGCTCAACAAACACTAGCAAAGATGCTGATGGGAGAGATAGGATGAGTGCCTGGGCTGAACCTGAAGGAAAGCAGAGTGGCCATCCTCTCGGGGACAAGCACCAAACTGGGCTCCATGCAATTCTGTATCTGTTTGTGACAGGGTCTCACTACGTAGCCCAGGCTAGCTTTGAATTCTCCTTGCCTCTACAACTTATTTTGGTTTCTGTTTCTAACAGGGTCTCGCCATGTAGCCCAGGTTAGCTTTGAATTCCTCCTGCTTCTACCTCCCACGCTGGGATTGCAGGCATGTACCTCCATGTCCGGCTTACCCCTACATGATAAGAAGCCCCTCAGGAGATCCACTGAGGACACCTGGCACACTGAGGGCTGTGTATAGACTGGGACTAGGAAAAGGTGGCCAGGCAGGTCACAGAGCATCCACCAGGCTGACAGGGAACAAGCACTCTGAGGAAAACAGTGTGCACTGGAGATTTCTAGAGAAGGGAAAGCTGAGGCCTGTGCACAACAAAAGGACAGGCGGAGCCGCTATGTTGTGTGCATGCTTTATTCCAGCTTTCGGGGACGCCTGGGAGCTACACGGGGAAGAAAATGGATCGACTAGGATGGTGAGAGCCTAGACAGGGACCGAGATGATGGGAAACCTTTCTTTTGGTGCAGGGAAACTGGTCGGAACGAAGGCTGGGAAAGGATTTAGCCAGAAAGCCTGAGGCTGTGAGATCTAGGATGACCGACTGAGCAAGAAGTGATGGGTAATACTGAGGGTTGAGCTCTGGCCCTCTGTGTGGTATGTTGAGTCTCCACCTAGTCACACCCTCAGCCTCTGAAAGGGAGATGCTTGGCAGGAGCCCCGCTGCTGCACTGCATGCCCAGGCAGCTTTCTTAGACCAGGATTCACTGTGCAGACCAGGCTGGCCTCGAACTCTCAGAGATCTGCCTGCCTCTGCCTCCCAAGGGCTAGAGTTGTGACACTACCATGTGCACCCCCCTGCTCTTTTCATTATAATTTTTATTTGTAGGGGTGTTTGCTTACATGTATGTCTTTGTACCACATGCATGCCCGATACTCAAAGGCCAGGAAAAAGTGCCAGATCCCCTGGAAATGGAGTCAGAGACGGCTGTGAGCTGTGATGTAGGTTCTGGGAATGGAACTTAGATCCACTGAAGGGTCATCTCTCCAGCCCTGTTTTATTTTGATATAGGCTCTAAGTTGCTCAGGCTGACTCTAAACTTAAAATTCCGTTTCTGCTTTCAAAGTATCTGGATTCTAGGTCTGTCCTGCATGCTCAGCGGGAACACTTCCTCAGAACCAGGAAGTGAGAGTGAGGGGTGGCAGTGAAGAAACCAGAAAGTAGATGCTGAAAGGGGGAAGAGAGCTGGACAAGTGGAGGCGGGGAGGGCTGGAGGTGGACGAGGCGCACTCTGCACCACGAAGAGTCAGAGTCGGCACAGGGTGGCGGGAGGGAGGGAGGGAGGGAGGGAGGGAGGGAGGGAGGGAGGGAGGGAGGGAGGGCCTGAAGAGAATGGCCAAAAGGAACCTGAGGGTATGTGACTGCTTTTTAAATCTGTGTGTATGAGTGCACACTCATGTGAGGTGCAGGCGCCTGTGTGCCGTGGTCCAGGCATGGCGGCTGGATCAGAGAACCTCCTGGTGTGGGCCTTCCCCTCCACCTTGCTTGAGGCAGGACCTCTTGTCGGCCGAGACGCCAAGCTACCTGGCCCCTGGGATCCCAGAGATTCTTCTGTTTTCTTCTTCCATTGTGTAGGAGAGCTGGCATCACAGAGGCGCCGCAGCCCCTGGCTTTTAAGTGGTCTTCCCCCTCCCCTCAAAGCACTTTACCCCTGAGCCATCTCCTAAGCTGCCCTTTTTTTTTTTTAACTCAGTCTTACTGTGTAGCCCAAGCAGGACTCAAGCTTGCAATCCTGCCTCAGACTCCGGAGAGGTGGGATTACAGGAGTGCACCACCATACATGGCTCAGTGTATCTTCTGACGCAAGACTGATCTTGCCAACCCATCCGGCTCAGGAGCGGAAATCAGAGGGTGGTTTACCTAGGGTTGGGGCTCATCTAGGCACATCTAAGGAGGGCCAGCAGGAAGTGACCCAAGCAGGTATCCCTCCAGCCTGTCTTGGAACACGTTGGCACCTCTGCTACCAACAGCTGGTCATTAAGCAGGAACCCCCCCCGCCCCCATGTTTCATCAAGTTAGTGTTTCACAATCCATGCTCGCTTCCTGGCTTCAGTGCTTCCCTTAGTTGCCTCACACAGTGGCTTTCTCTGTTCCTAACAAAGCTTTCCTCTGGCCCAAGCACCCCACCTATGGTTCATTCTCTGCACCCACCCAGTGCCCAGATCTGAACCTGTCAAGCACAGTAGCATTACCTGGAGAGACATGGTCCCTCTCACAGCGACCACAACGGCCTCCTTCCTGTGATCCAGAACCACGATAAAGGGCAGCTCATATACCTGGAAGAGAAGAAGCCAGTACAAGGCCTGACCCATGGGGACACTGAGCATCGCCAACTAACAGAACCTTGAGTTTCTGTGGCTCACTCATTCTCTATCCTTCTGCCTCAGCCTCCTAAATGCTGGGATTACAGACATACACCACCACACTTGGCAACTTCAGGATTTTTTGGCTGTTGTTTTCTTTAAATTACATGTATTTATTTTACATGAGGAGTGTGCGTGTTTGTGTGTGTGTGGCTTCTATAAAGAATAATCCATTCCAGGCCTTGTATTGCAGGCTTGTAATCCCAGCTGCTTAAGAAGCTGAGGCTGAGGCAAAAGGAAAACAAATTCAAGGTCTACAGACTAAGTTCTGGGCCAGCATGGGCAACTTCGTGAGAGCATCTCGAAATAAAAAGTAAAAAGAGCAGGGCATTCCGGGCATTGGTGGCGCACGCCTTTAATCTCAGCACTCGGGAGGCAGAGGCAGGCGGATCTCTGTGAGTTCGAGGCCAGCCTGGTCTATAAGAACTAGTTCCAGGACAGACTCCAAAGCTACACAGGGAAACCCTGTCTGGAAAAAAACAAAACAAAAAACAAACAAAAAAAGCAGGGCAGAGGTGCACACACCTTTTACCCCAGCACTTGGGAGGTAGAGGCAAGTGGATTTCTGAGTTTGAGGCCAGCCTGGTCTACAAAGTGAGACTCCAGACAGCTAGGACTGTTACACAGAGAAACCCTGTCTCGAAAAGTCCAAAAGAAAAAAAAAAGGTAAAAAGAAGGCTGGGGATTAGCAAGATGGTTCAGTGACTAAGATACTCACTGTTAAGTCAAATAACCCAAGTTTAATACCCAGGACCCATATGCACACGTGCATGTGTACACACACACACACACACACACACACACACACACACACACACACCACTAGATCTCAAAGGACTCTAGAACCCACATCTAGATGTTTGAGACAATACCTTGTCATGAAAGCTTATATGAATGAAGTCCCTGTACTGCAGCCCGGTTGTCTTCAGGATGGAGGCAAAGTGGCAGTTGTGCTGGTCCCCTTCGACTGCATCATACTCTGTCTCTCTACTTCTGCAACTAAAGGGAGGACAAAGATGTGACTGGCAGTCTGAGCCCCTGACCAAGGCACAATGATCCCCACTACAGGATTAGCTAGAAAATTCAAGGGAGGGCCCACTACATCTAAGACATTCTAACAGAACAGTTTCTCTTGAGCAGCAGGGGATGGAATCCATGGTCCTACAGATGGGGCAAACACTTTCATTGTGCTACATTCCTGACATTCATTCATTCATTCATGTCTGTGTGTGTTTGTACACTCCTGTGCATGCCCATGCATCCATGGAGGCCAGAGGAGGATGTGGAATTTCATACTCTGTCATTCTGCATTAATTCCTTTGAGACATGGTGCTCCCTAAACTGGAGCTAGGCTGGAAGCCAGAAATCCCCAGGAGTCCTCCTGTCTCTCTACCTCACCCCCACCATGTGGGAAACAGGCAGAGTCTGAACAAGCCTTTTTGTGTGGATGCCGGGGCTTTGAACTCAAGGCGTACTGCTTGAGTAGCAAGCACTTTACTGACTGAGCGACCTTTCCAGTCCCATTACTAGTATAAGATACAAGGATGTGAAGGGACTTCGGAAGCATTGGGGATTAAGCATGAGAACAAACTGCCCTGTGGCTGGGTTTGAGAGCTTGCTGAGGGTGAACGTGATGGAGATATGATATGGGAAAGGTCATGCAAAATTTCTGTGGCTGGGGCAAGGGAAATGGCTCAGCAGGTAAAGGCACCTGCTGCCAAGCCTAATGACCAGAGTTCAATCACTAGGATAGGATCTACATGGTAGAAGGAGAGAATAAACTCCTGAAAGTTGTCCTCTGCTCTGACATCCATGTACATGCAAGTGCACAAAAAAACCAAACAACCTATAATTAAATTTTTTTTTCTTGAACTGTCAAACTGTCCACCAGGAAGTCCTGCAGGCCGAGGCACCCTAGAGGGATGGACACGCCTAGCACTCAGATCTTGGTTTCTAATTAGCATCTCCACCTTGTGAAAGGCAGATACCACTCCAGGGCAAGCATAAGATCCAGTTTCAACTCCTTTCATCAGGAACCTTCCATCAAAGCCAAGATGGCTTAGTGGGTAAAGGTGCCTGCTGAGTGATTACACATGAGTTCAATCCCAGAATCCATGGTGAGGGAGTGAACCAATTCCCGAATGCTGTCTTTTGACCTCCACATATATGCTGTGGCATACACGTACGCACACACATCTCAGACACATGTTAATGATAAATAAAATTTGAAAAAATTCCATCAGGGAGTGCAGGAAGAGGCCACAAGTGGTGGCACAGGCTGTGATCCTAGTACTTGGGAGGTGGAGGCAGGAGGATCAGGAGATTCAAGGGCATCCTTGGCTACATGAGATCCCATCTCAAAACCACCAAAAACCAAAATTAGTAACTAAGGAAGTACTCAGAAAGCTACAGGGATCCATCATAAGGACACAGGAACCAGCCTGTACAGTCAGGTTGGGGCATGTGACCACTAAATACTAATTATAGAAATGACAGCAATGAACTGTGACTGTGCATGAAGCAAGAAGCATGTGTCGGGACCGACACCAAGGAGCAGGCAATCAAAGCTCGCTGTAAGGCAGAAGAAACAGCACGTTTTCTCCCACTCTGGTTATGATTGATTCACAGAAGAACAGAGGCATGCTAAATCTGGACCTGGTGGTTGAGGACTCAGCTTAATGCGAAGATGCTTTCCTAGTATGTGCAAGGCCCTGGGTGCTATCAGCAAGAAAAAAAAAAACCGGGCTGGTAAGACGGCTTACTAGGTAAAGAATGGTTGTTGTCCAAGAAAGAGAATCAGAGTTCAAATCCACAGAACCCATGCATTATGCTAGGTATGGTTGTGAAAGTGCCAGTAACAGCAATGTGAGGTGGTGACCGGGGTGGAGACAGGAGGATAGCTGCGGCTACTAGCCACCAGTTTAGCTCCAGGTTCAGGAGAGACCCTGTCCCAAGAGAATACAGTGGAGAGAAGTCCAGCCGGACGCAGACACCCTCCTCTGGTCTCCAAACCCACACACATGCATGTGCACACACACACACATTTGGATATACACACACCACTCTCATATATTATAGACACACACATTATTGGGACGAGAAGAATTCAAATACAAGTTGCCTGTCAATAACCAATGATAAAATTCTTTATTGGGGGGGGTTCGAGACAGGGTTTCTCTGTGGCTTTGGAGCCTGTCCTGGAACTAGCTCATGTAGACCAGGCTGGTCTCGAATTCACAGAAATCTGCCTGTCTCTGCCTCCCGAGTGCTGGAATTAAAGATGTGCACCACCACCGGCCCAATCATAAAATTCTTGATTTTTATAATTTTACTGCAATGGATGCCCTGAGGAAATTAGCTACGTGGTTAACAAAGAAGCACAAGATGTAAGCTCAACTGGAAAGGAACTTGCCTCCAAGCCTGATGATCTGAATTTGATTCCCAGGGCTTGCACAGTGTGCAATAATATATCCTTCTTAAAATCCCTCTTGCCTTCAGAGATTGAACATTTTCCAGACCCTATAATCAAGTTAATAATATGACCTGAAAAGCCAGGCACGGTAGCGCACACCTTTAATCCCAGCACTCGGGAGGCGGTGGCAGGTGGATCTCTGTGAGTTTGAGGCCAGCCTGGTCTACAGAGTGAGTTCCAGGACAGCCAGGACTACACAGAGAAACCCTGTCTCAGAAAAATAATAATGTAGGGGTGTAGTAGTCATTTGCTGAAGCAGCCATCAGGGTTGAGAGTGTAAACAATGACTACCCCATAAATGTTGGAAGCAACAGGTAGATACAGGTTGGTAACAACTGTATGTGGTTCTGGGTACTGTTCTGGGTCAGTAAATTTTAAAAAGTTGTAAGTGCCAGGTGTGGCCCATGCTTTTAATCCCAGCACTTGGGAGGCAGAGGCAGTCATCTCAGTGAGTTTGAGGTCAGCCTGATCTATATAACAAGTTTCTTTCAGGCCAGCCAGAGGCAACATAGTGATACCTTGTCTCAAAAATAATAACAATAATTTAGAGATAAAGCTCTAGACAGATTCTAGATAAGGGGACTTAGGACACCTTTGTTCTACTCTTGAATGCTTTCAAAATGTAGATTCATGAAAGGATCAGACTAGCCTGACCTACCAGTCGCCACCGATCCTGCACAGCCCGGTGAACGGGTTTCTATAGATGTAGAGGGGCCATCCATAGGCAGCTGCTGCAAACGGCATGAAGTGATGGCAGTTTTCCACTTCTGCATCCAAGTCAGCTTCCTGAGAGAAGGAAAAAAGCCTTTTTGTGTACGGCAGCCATGGAAAGGACGGACACAAGGATGTGTGAGCACTCAATGTGGGCACACGTGTCCCACAGCACTAGTGGGTGCTGCCCCCACCTTCCACCTTGTTGAAGAACCCTGTTTGCTGGATCCCGCCAGCTAGTTGGTCCTCCAGCCTCTAACAGTCTCCTTCCATCTTGCTGTAGGGACCCTGGGATTGCAGAAGCACTCCATATTGTATCCTGCTTTATGCGAATTCTGGGAATCTGAACTTGGGTTCCCATACTTGCAAAGCAAGCGCTTAGCTCACTGGGCCACCCCCACCCCCACACTAAGGCCTTAAACCTGAACTCTAATTTCTAACTCTTCCTGCTCTTTTCCTCCTTGACTCTCAAAAATCCCTCCTTTTCTCCCACGTGTATTTGTAGGGTACCTGTATGTATGTGTGTTCACAAGGGTGTGAGCACTTGTGTGTGCATCTGTGTGCATGTGGAGGCTCAGGGTTCACACCAAGAATCTTCTTCCCTCTCCCACCTTATTACCGAGGCAGGGTCTTTGACTCAAACCCAGAGGTCACTGATTTGAGTAGTCTCCCTAGCCAGCTTGCCTCAAGGATAACCCACCCCTATCTTCACCTTCCAATGCTAGAATGACAGATGGGCCACCATACCCATCCAGCTTTACATGGGGTTTGGGGACCCAAAATCCAGCTCTGACAACCTAGCTGTCTCTCCAGCATCTTGTAGGGGGAAAACTGGTATTTTTGGTTTGGTTTGAAGACAGGGTATCTCTGGGTATCCCTGGTTGCCCTGTCCTGGAACTTGCTATGTAGACTAGGCTAGCTAGAACTCACAGAGATCTATTCCTACCTCCTGAGTGCTAGGTTCAAAGCATGTGCCACCGCACCTAGCACTTTTGTTTCTTGAGACGAGGTTTACATATGTATCTCTGGTTGGCCTGGAACTCCATGTATAGGCCAGGCTGGCCGTGAACGCTCAGATCCACCTGCTCCTAAAAAGGTGGGTTTTAAGTTGTGAACTCCACCAGAAATGTGAGGGAAGAAGGCAAGGATCCCTAGTGAGTTCTGGCTCCAGCAGGAGCTTCCTGCTTGGAGTCCTTCGTGGCTTTCCACCCTGGACATGGGTGCTGTCAGCACCTGCAGGAGGTGTCTCACTGGGGGAGGGCTTTGAGGTCTCACAAGACTCACACATTCTCTTTACCCCACGGCTGCGTCTCAGTTTGTGAGCTCTCAGCTACTGCTCCAGTACCATGCCTGCCTCCCTGCCTGCTGTTGACAGTCATGAGCTCTAGATCTCTAGAACTATAAGCCCCAAATAAATCAAATAAATGCTTTCCTTCCTATGTATTATCACAGCAGTAGAGAAGTAACGAAGACATGGATTCCTGCCTGGAGTACTGCCTGGCTGCCATGGCAGAGGCAGAGGGGACACATATGGCTTCTCTGTGTTCTGTGTTATTTTTCTGTTTTTTGTTTGTTTTTGAGAATCTGGAGACATGGCTCAATGGTAGTACATCTGCTGAGTATGTACAAGATGCTGGGTTCCACACCCAGCAATGAAGGAAGGGAGGGAGGAAGTCGGTGTGTGGTGGGAAGATGAGAGACACAGAGAGGGGGACAGAGACAGAGGGAGGGATGGAGGGAGGGAGAGAAGGGAGGGGAGGGAGGGGAGGGAGGGGAGGGAAGGGGAGGGACAAGGAAGTTTTGTCCCTTCTACTGTGTAGCCTGGGGTGACCTGGAACTCACAATCCCCCTGCCTCTGCCCCCTATAGCTGGAGCAGCAGGTACACACTGGCAGGACTTTCCCTTTGGAGACCATAAAGACCTATGGAGGAATATTTTCAACAAGTAAAGCTTGAACTGTTTCTGCTTCCTAGACCTAGAGAAGAAAATACAATCTGGGGTGACTCAGGCCCCATCCTGGGAGGAATTCTTCTGGAACAGAGAACCAAATATTGAATTTCCCACAGTGCAACCTAGACAATAAGACAGAAGTGGGCTTCCTGTACCTGGAATCTAGGTGAGAAAGTTGGGTTTCAGTCCAAAGGCTACTGAAACTGTTCTTGGCTACTTCTCTTGTCTCTTCTCCCATCTGTCTCTGTCTCCCTCTCATCCCTCTCCTTCTTTCTTCTTACACAGGGTCTGTTTCCAGCCTGGGACTCACAATATAGCCCAGGCTAGTCACCTGCTCACAATCCTCCTGAGTGTTCCATGCCCAGTTTTAACTGTAGGACTCTGAAGACCTACACAGAAGCACAAACGCCAAGGTGTTTTTTTTTTTTTTTTAATCATTACCTGAGACTGCCCTGGAAAGTGGGTGATGACCTCCCGAGGCTCCAGGCTGTTGTTGATATTGTCCTGTTGCTGGTGGAGAAGGGTGAAGCCTGCTGCAATATCACTGGGCACCAGGTCTGTGTCCTGGGTGGGAAAGCACAATGACCTGTCGTAAAGCCCATCGGACTACCCAGAAACCCCTTAGCATCCCAGCTGAATAGAACTCACAGCCAGGTACGCAAGCATGTAGGTGCATTACATAGAGAATGGTAGCTATTATTTTCTGTTTGTCTGAGACAGTCTTCTGCAGCTTAGGATGGCCTCCAGCTCACTGAGAAGTTAAAGATGACCTGGAATTCTAGATCCTCCTGCCTCTACTTCCCAAGTATAAGCATGTGCCATCATACCCAGCCTAGAGAAGTATTTAAAGGGACTTTTACTTTTACTTGTGCGTGTGCACTAATGCACACATTCATGCATACCACATGAGTGTAGGAGCCCTCAGAGGCTAGAAGGGCTGGATCCCCTAGACCTGCAGTCACAGGCATTTGTGAGCTAACCAGTATGCATGCTGGGAACTGAATACAGGTCCTCTGGAAGAGCAGGAGCTTTTAACCATTGGGCCACCTCTCCGTCCCATTGAAGACATCCTTTAAAGAGCCTTTTCGTTTGTAGGATTCCTTTTAGACATGAGCTTAGCATTTTTTCCTATCTTGCCCTCAGACAAATCTACTAGATTGATTTCTTTTTTTAAAAGTTTTTCAAGATAGGGTCTTTCTGTGTAGCCCTGGAACTCACTTTGTAGACCAGGCTGGCCTCAAACTCACAAAGCTCCACCTGTCTCTGCCTCTGAGTACTGGGATTAAAGGAGTGTGCTACCACTGCCTGGCTCCTAGATTGATCATTTTATCAAAATTTCATTTTAAGTGACTTAACTGTTTCTGTTTATGAAAAATCGTGTGTCTGCGTGCACACATGCCAGAGTATATGTGTGACAGTCACAGGACAACTTTCATGGGTTGTTTCTCTCCTCCCAACTTGTTTTGAGGCAGGGTCTCTCTTTTTACACTTGCTGAACTGTGTGCTCCAGGCTGGCTAGCCTGTGAGCTTCCATCTATAGGCGTGCTGGGATTAAAAGTGTGTACCACCATGCCTGACATTCTCATTTCTTAAGATGATGTGAAGGTTGCATTGATACATACTCTATGGCAGACTCATGAGGTTGAACATATGATTACTGGGTACACTGTGCCAAGAAAGAAATAAAAATAGAGTAAAACACCAGTGAGACTTTTTGTGTGAATAAATACGGACGTCAGAAATCCTCTACCAGCTGGACCAGGTGGCACATGCCCAGAATTGTAGGACCCAGACAGATAAGGCATGAGGATGGCAAATTCAGGACCAGCCTGAGATATACAATGATCCTTGTGTCAAAAAGAAACTAAGGGAGGAAGGGAGGGAGGGAGGGAGGGAGGGAGGGAGGGAAGACAAATCAACAGGCCACGAGATGAACAGCTCAGTGGGTAAAGGCACCTGCTGTCAAGTCTGACAACTAAGTTTGATTCCGGAACACACAGACTAGAAGGAGAGAACCAACTCCCGCAAGCTGTCCTCTGCCCTACCCATATGCCATACATGCACGTACACACACAAAATAATTTAATTAAAAACAAAAGAACTAAAAGAAATTCCCCACCAGCAGCAGGTTCTTCTAGCCCATAGGAAGGACTGCTAGACCTCTGATGGACAGAGAGGTCTATGATGCAGCTCTACATAAAACCTGTCTTGGAGGCAGGCGGTGGTGGCACGCGCCTTTAATGCCAGTACTGGGGAGGCAGAGACAGACGGATCTCCAAGTTTGAGGCCAGCCTGGTCTACAGCCAGGGCTGCACAGGGAAACCCTGTCTTGGTGGAGCACACCTATAATCTCCACACTCAGGAGACAGAGGCGCAAGGACCAGAAGTTCAAGGTCATCCTCAGCTATATAATGAGTTCAAAGTCAGTCTCAGCTACAGGAGACTGGTAGTGACTGGGTAACTTCTCTTCTCCTAGACCCCTTGAGATTGGGTTGAAGAACTCCTGTAAGACTTAGGAGGATGGTTAGAAATATGGCTCACAGAAGACTGGAGTTTAGTTCCCAGCACCCCCATCAGGTAGTCTCACAACTCCACATAACTCCAGCTCCAAGGGAGCCAATACCCTCTTCTGGCCTCCTTGGGATACCTGCATGCATGCAGCATACACGCACACAGATGCAAATAATAGAAATAAAAACATGTTTACAGGGCACACCTCTTGAGTCCCCATAGGAAGGCCACTGCTGTGCAGCCTGCTTTCACATCACGATGTCAACTCTCAACAGTTACAAGTCAGAGCAAGAGAGACAGGAAGGTACATAAGATGTCGAAAGGAATCTTCTCTTTTACTTGGTTTCAGTACCAAAAATAACAGTAGTTACAACATATCATTACACAAACACATAGAGGCGCAAGGAAAATGAGCATGTCCAAGAATTTGGACAGCTCACCCTAGAACAGTGATTCCCTTTGCACTTCAGTCACTAATCATGGAAAACAGTGAGAATAGTTAAATTACTTTGTGTGTGTGTGTGTGTGTGCATGCACACGTGCGTGCGTGTAGAGGTTAGAGGACAATTTGCAGGACATAGTGCTTGCCTTCTACTTACTCGGGTCCTGGGGACTGAACTCAGGCCATCAATCTTGGCAGCAATCACCCTTACCTGCTGAGCCATCTTGCTGAGCTGAGGAATTCCTTTCTGACACTCCCCTGCCTGTATATGTCTATGTGCTGACTGAGCTGGATGGAAGAGACACAAAAAGACAACTAGCAGATTCTTTCCTAATGTACACGTTCTATTATTTAGTTCCTTAAAAACAATGCACAGGCTGGACTGTAATGGACTAGTGTCAAGGAAAAGACACACCTATTCATCAAGAAAGGGGCTGAGGGCTGGGCTGGGGCTCAGCTAACACAACACATGCCTAGATACATGAAGCCTTGGGTTCCATCCTTAGCACCAAACACCAGGCGTGGTGGCACATGCCTGTAATCCCAGCACCGAAGAGGTAGGTGAAAGAGGACCAGAAGTTCAAGCTCATCCTTGGCTACACAGTCAGTTTCAGGCCAGCCTGGGTTACAGGAGACCCCCATCTCAACAAAGCAAAACAAATAAGGAGCAGAAAAGGCTTGGCAATCCTTACAGTTAATTTCTGCCTGTCAAGCCCACCCAGGTAGTGTACTCCCAAACCTCACGCACGCCCAAGGGGTCCAGGTCCTCAAAGCCACTTTATGTTGGTTCCAGTGACTTTGTGCAGAATACTCATCTTCCCACAGAAGCACTGACAGAAACAGTTGAAAGAGACCACAGCAGATCCCTTCTGCTTACAGAGAAGTAGGTGGAGAAAAGGTCAGCCGCGCTGGAGAAAGCGACTCTGGCGTTATCATCCTGCCCCACGCAGCAGCAGCAGAACATCACTCTGGTTTCCCACACACTCTTGGCAGCTGTCTTCAGGCCAGTCAATAACTGACTTGAGTTGTTACTGTCCAGGTGTTCGGGGCAGCCTGGGGGGTGTGGAGTCATCTTCCCACCCAGCGGGTCAAAGACAAAGACGATAGTGACCATGGTGGTAGCCATGACAATCCAACTGCAAAAATTAAGGCATGGGAAAGGCTTGGTGACTGAGAAGGCTGGGTGGCCAGAGCCCCTCCAAACACACACCCTAATCCTTGTTGCTGTACTGCTGCAGGAGAGGCAGCTCTCTGAGAACCTGACTGAGACAAGCAATTTTCTTCTAGAAAGATCCCTCTGAGGGTCAGTGAGATGACTCAGGAGGTAAAGGTGTTTTTGGCTAAGCCTAAGCACCTGAATTTGGTCTCCAGGGTCTACATGATTGAAGGAAAAAAATCAACTCTTGCAGGTTACCCTCTAACCTCCAACATGTGCCATGTCATGCACACACATACACATACAGACATATGACTTAACTACATAAATAAATACAAAAAAGAAAGTGCCTCACGAGTCCATAGCTAACCCAAGTCCCATGAAGACCAGAGAGTTCTGAAAGGAATGCCCAGAAAACAAAGGGTTGGGTGGTGGGGAGCATAGAAGTCACTAGAACTAGTTCTCCAGGAACCCCTGATCATGATCCTGCTACCCCCCAGTGCTCTGAGGTTCTTCATAGTAAAACAAAAGGAATTTCCACATTATTGAACACTCCGATAGGTACCCCCCCCCATATCTAACTATTTCCTTTAGATGGGATCTTTCTCTCTGAACCTGGGGCTCATGTCTTTTGGGCTAGGCTGGAAGCCCTAGTGATCTTCCTGTCCCCACTGACCTTGGAGCTGGGGTTAAAAGTGTACATATGGGAGGCCTAGTTGACATGGGTGCTAGGAACTGAACTCTGGTCCTCAAAATAGCTTGACAAGTGCTCTTTACCACTCACTGAGTCATCTCTCCAGTTACTCTTCCTTTTACGAGAGTGGAACGTGCAGAAAAGTGAGGAGTGGGAAGAAAGTGAACATTCACAAACTGGAAGATGAGCTGTTTCTCATGGACCAAAAAACATCTCTAAGTCCTCAGAAAGATGCCACTCTATGTTAGAAAGTCCACAGGACGTCCGGGTGTTATACTGCTCAGAAACACACCTGAGGAGACACCATGAAAAGAGAAAGACCTCACCTGACAATGACGGTGGTGATGATGCCAATCAAAACTGTCTTGTCACATTGGATACCTTTTGCCACCCAGATGGCCCCCAGAGAAGCCCAGACCATCTCTGGCAGGAAGAGCGCCAGACGGACATAAAGCAGCTTAGCCATAGACTTCCGAGGTCCAGGGTTACAAATGGTTCCTGAAACACAGAAAAGAATGTGAACTGCTCACGAGCCTCCTAAGATGCAGAGCGGCCTGTCCACAAGAATACAGCTACCAGGGAGCTGGAGAGAAGGCTCAGCTTGTAGAAGTGCCTGCCAGAGAAGTGTGAGGACCAGTTCAGATCCCCAGGGTCCACGGAAAGCTGGGAGAAAGAGGCAGTGTGCATTTGTAAACCAAGGGCTGGTGGGAGTGGAGACAGGTGGATCCCTAGAACCCACTGGCTAACCAGCCTAGCTGAATTAATGATCTGTAGGTTCACTGAGGCCCAGCCTCATCAGGTAAAGTGGGGGAGTGACTGAAGACCACACACACACACACACACACACACACACACACACACACACACACACACACACACACACACATTCTACAGCTACATGGGCTGGAAAGACTGCTCAGCAGTTAAGATCATGGACTGCTCTTGCAAAGGACTTGAAATTGGTTCTCAGCACCTGTATCACGCAGTTCACAACCCCATATAAACAACTCCAGCCTCAGGGGATCTGACTCCTCTAGCCTCCATAGGCACCTGCATTCACACATACTACACACAGTCACATACACATAATTTAAACATAAAATAAATCTTAGAATACAGCTACTGAACATCTCTGCATTTTGATGTACACACCATTGGACTCCTCCTTATACTTGGTGACATGTGCCCAAAATAGAAAGTGACAGTATCTTTAATCCAGAACCTGGGAGGCAGAGGCAGGCAGATCTCTGTGAGTTCAAGGCCAGCCTGGTCTACAGAGCGAGTTTCAGGGCACTCAGAGCTGTTACACAGAGAAAGCCTTGTCTTGCAAAACAGAAAAGAACAGGAAGCAAGTGACAAAGTGAAGGACGGAAGGGTGACAGAAGCTTCGGATTCATTTTCTAGACACACTCAGAGTTAAAACTGTTTCTGGGCTCTAACTAGGGAGGACTACATAATTGCTGCCCAAACTGGAATACTTCTGAGAACCAAAATTACTACGGGTAATTACAATGGAGCAACAGGCATCTGGAGGACTGTCCCAGGGAGAATGGGAGACAGTCACCCAGACTCTAATAGCCAGGAGAATAAACTCCCGGTCTACTGACCACCTTACCCAACATTTAGTATCCTTAAATATTTCAATATCAATTATTCTCTAATCCTCACAAATTATAGATGAGTGATTATCTCATCTTACAAACGAAGAAACTGAGGTTTAACAGAAATATGTGTGCTGTGTGTCTGTGTGTATGGTGTATGTGTGTGTCTGAGTGTGTGGTGGATATGTGTGGTGTGTGTATGTTATGTGTGTTGCATGTGTATGTGGCATATGTGTGTGGTGTATAATGTGTGGGGTGTGAGGTATGTGTGTTGTGTGGGAGGAAATATATGTCTATGGTGTATATGTGGGGTATGTGTGTGTTGCATGTGTATGTGATATATGTGTGTGTTGCGCGCGCACTCGTGTGTGTGTGTGTGTGTGTGTGTGTGTGTGTGTGTGGTGCATATAAGTGGTGTTTGTGTCTGTGTGTCTCCACTATCTCCCATGGAAGCCAGACAGGAATGTTAGGGACTTTTATCACTCACTCTTCACCTTGGGTTTTTTGTTGTTGTTGTTTTGGTTTTTGAGACAGGGTTTCTCTGTGGCTTTGGAGGCTGTCCTGGAACTAGCTCTTGTAGACCAGGCTGGTCTTGAACTCCCTGAGATCCACCTGCCTCTGCCCAGTCCTTATTGTTGTTGTTGTTTTCTTTTTTGTTTGTTTTGTTTTCTTCACCTTGGTTTTTAAGAAGGATTTATTTTATTTTTAATTGTGTGTATGTGTATGGGAGGGGTGGCATATGGGTATAGGTACACACAGGGAAATCAAAGGCTTTGGATTCCCTTGACCTGGAGCTGCAGGCCGTTGTTGAGTTGCCTGATGTAAGCTGGGAATTGATGTAAGCTGTGATCCTCTGCAAGACAGTACCAGGGTCATTTCCCCAGCCCTTCCAAACTTTAGTTTCTGGGGAAGAATCTCTTTTTTTTTTTTTTTTTTTTTTTTTTTTGGTTTTTTGAGACAGGGTTTCTCTGTATTGTTTTGGAGGCTATCCTGGAACTAGCTCTGTAGACCAGGGTGGCCTCGAACTCACAGAGATCTGTCTGCCTCTGCCTCCCGAGTGCTGGGATTAAAGGCGTGCGCCACCAACGCCCGGCTGAGTCTCTCACTTCTTACCAATCCTCTAGGCTGGCTGGCCAATGAGCTCCAGGTACCTTCCAGCACTGGGTTACAGCCACGTGATGGACACAAAAACACTGGTTTAAAGTGTTAGTGCTGGAGAGATGGCTCAGTGGTGAAGAGCACTTGCTGCTCTTTCACACAATCTGAGTTTGGTTCCCAGCACCTACCTCACATCCACACTGAACTACAGATCCAGGGGATCCAATGCCCCTTCTGCCCTCTGCAGGTTACTCCCACAGATAGAGGTTCCCCCACACAGACACACATACATCATTAAAAATTAAAAATAAATCTTTAGTGCTGGACATGATGGCACAAACCTTTAATCCCTGAACTTGAATGTCAGAGGCAGGCAGGCCTCTGTAAATTCAAGGATAACCTGGACTATACAGAAAGTTTCATGCCAGCTGGGGTTTCATGGAAAGACCTGTCTCAAAGAAGCACAAAACAATTTAAAAATTTCTTTTAATTAGGCACTATCAAGCCTCCTGCTTGGCATTTACATAGTAATTGATTTTTACATTTTTATTTACGTGTATTTATCGTGGATGAACACATGTGCCACGGCACAAAAAAGGAGGCCAGGGGACACCTGCCGGAGTCAGTTTCCTCCTTTCATCATGAGGGATCAAACTCAGGTGCCAGGCTTGGCAAAGCAGTACCTTTACCTGCTGAGCCATCTGGCTGGCTGGACAGTTCTTACTCTTCCTCTCTGAGGAACAAAGGAAGCCTGTTACCAAGTAACAGTGGCTGAGACCCTGGAAAAACAGGAACCCAGACCTCCCCTGCGCTGGCAGGATACTAAATATGGACACATTATAACACGGTTGGTCAGCAGTGTCAGGGATTGGGACTTCCACACAAAAGCCTCTGACACAACATTCACCAAATACTGAAAAAGAAAGAGATGGAAGTGTTTAACTTCCCAGAAAATGAATGAGCTATTGAAAGAAGCTGCAGTTACCTAGAGAAACATTGTTTTAAATTCTTTGATATTTCATGTATAAATGTGGTACATTTTGGTCATTACCCCTTCCTAGTCCTCCCACCCCCTCTGGGACCCCTTCTTCCTAAGAAGTCCCCCTCCTAGTTTGATTATTTTTTGCTTGTTTATGATTCACTGTGTTTAATTAGGGTGGCTGCCTGTGCACAGGCAGGGAATTATTCCCTGGAACACAGGCAATTTACCAATGGCTACATCACCAAAGAAAAATGAGGCCCCCTCCCTCAGCAACTATTAAATGCCAGTGGTCCCTGAGCTAGAGGTGGGGGCCTCATGAGTCCCTCCCCACCCTGTGACAGAATGTTGATGGCATCATCTGGTTCAGATCTTAGAAAAACACAATTTTTTTAGACAAGGTTCACTCTGTAGACCAGGCTGGCCTCGAACTCACAAGAGATCTGCTAGCCTCTGCCTCCCAAGTGCAAGGATTAAAGGTGCGCACTACCATGCCTGATTGGAAAAACACTTTTATTTCCACATTTACATTTTTTTTCTCAAGATAAATAGACTAGTAGTAACCTGGTTACCTTAGCAGATATTCTAATTTGATGATCCTAACCTTCAGAGACAATGCTGTATTGGGCTGTCCTCAACAAAGACCTAAAGTGACCTAAGGTCCCTCATCAAGTGGGACATGCATAAGAGCAACAAAAAGAAATGCCACAGATTTATGAATGACAGACACCTTAGCCACCACAGATATCTTCTCTGACATAGAAGTTGAGCTATGAGCGCTTAAGACACAAACAGAGAGATAAAGGACCCTGCCCAGACATGGCAGATGGTAGTCCTCATGTGGAAAGGGTTCTGTTAAAACACAGCAGCCTTGGGCAGGCATTGGTGGCGCACACCTTTAATCCCAGCACTCGGGAGGCAGAAACAAGCGGATCTCTGTGAGTTGGAGGCCAGCCTGGTCTACAGAATGTGTTCCAGGACAGTGAGGGCTGTTACACAGAGAAACCCTGTCTCGAAAAACAAAAACAAAAACAAAAAAGAAAGCACTTGAGTGCAGACCATCCCCAACTAACCCATATAGTAGCCACTGTAGGTTTCATGGGGGAAGTTCTGGAGCTGCAAGTCCTTGATTCTAGCCCCGGAATCTCACCATGAGTTTGGGCTAGCCTGGGCTACACAGTAACATCCTGAAAATTCAATCCTATTCTTAACTATGCTGTACATATCTATGACGATGAAAAAGAATCATCTTGGCTGGCTCTTTCCACAAACCATACTACAAGCACAATCACAAACACTTCTGTGGGTGTATGCAAATATACAGGTAAAGCCTGACTGACACACAGGCATTGTCATACTGGACTCCCCAAAGGTTTAATTAAATACATTCCCATTTCCACCTCCTAATGCAATGATGTCCTCTTTTGTTTTTGTTGTTTTTCAAGACAGGGCTGTCCTGGAACTCACTCTGTAGACCAGACTGGCCTTGAACTCACAGGGATCCACCTACCTCTGCCTCCCAAGTGCTGGGATTAAAAGTATGAGCCACCGCTGCCTGGCACAATGTCCTTAATTTAATGTGTGTGTGTGTGTGTGTGTAGTTGAGCCTAAAATTTTTAAAATAAAAAAATTCTTCTTTTTCTCTTCAGGTTCTTTGCCTGTTTTTCTACTGCTGCAGGGTTCTTCCCTTATTTCTTACTGAAGCTCTGTTGCTGGGTCTGGTGGCCAAACCTATGATCCCTGTGCTTGGGAAGCAAAGACAAGAGAAGTGCCCACTGTATTTCCAGACTAGTCAGGGCTACTGCCTAGGACTTTGCCTCAGCAAGAAGAGGCCCTAGGTCAAGTCCTACTGATGCAAAAAAAGAAAAAGACCATATCTATCTATCTATCTATCTATCTATCTATCTATCTATCTATCTATCTATCTATCCATGTATGTAACAAGGAAATTACCTCTTTTTTCCATGTGCTACAACACACACACACACACACACACACACACACACACACACACACAGTCTTACTATTTAGCCCTGGCTGGTCTGACACTTGCTTTTTAGACCAGGGTGGTCTCAAACTCAAGAGAGTCACCTGCCTTTATGTCCCCGAGTGCTAGCTTTAAAGTCTCAAGCCACTGTGCCCAACATATAATACTGCTTAAAGGAGTTTTTTCTTTAAACATGTATTTATGTGTGTGTTGGGCATGTGTACTATCACATGTTTGTGGAAGTCAGAGGACAGCTTGTGGGAGCAGGTTCTCTCCTTCTACTACGTGGGTCACAGGGCATGAACCCAGTCATCAGTTGGGGCTGCAAGCACCTTTAACCTTTGGGCCATCTTGTTAGCCAAAAATTTTACCCATTGCACTGATTTATTTATGGTTTTGAGGCAGGATTTTACTCTGTCCTGGTGGAGTCTCAAACTTACAGCAATCCTCCTGCTTCTGGCTCTTAAGTGCTTAGACTACAGGCATGGGTCAGCAAAATACGTTATTTATAACCAAATGACAATAAAAGTAACTATCTGGGGGGTGGTAGTACTGAGGCTACTGAGCTTCTTCCCAGTCCTGAATTAAACTTGTTTGTTTTTCAAGAGCTTCTCTGTGTGGCCCTGGCTGTCCTGGTACTAGCTATGTAGACAGATGCCTCAAACTCAGAGATCCACCTGCCTCTGCCTCCCGAGTGTTGGGATTAAAGATGTGTAAACATTTTAAAGTTTTCATTTTTATTCTTGTATTTGTGCCTCCTATCCGTGTGCACTGTGTGCATGCAATGCCAGTGGAGGCCAGAAGAAAGCGTGAGAGCCCCAGGAACTAGGGTTACAGGTGATCAGGAGTCACCTCATGTATGTGCTAGAGACTCTTCTATAAGAGCAATAAGTGCTGAGCATCTCTCCAGCCCCTTCAAAACACCAAGACAGACAGACAGACTATGTGCATGTGTCTGACATATGGAGGTCAGAGGACAACTCTTGGGAGTCAGTTCTTCCCTTCTATGATGTGGGACCCAGAGATGGAACTCAGGTCATCAGGCTTGGCAGCAAGCGCCTTTACCTGCGGCACCATCTCACTGTCCCCATTTCTGTTTTGCAGACAGAATCAGGGGTCTAAAGACTAAGGTAAGCTTTGAACTTGTCATCCTTCTGCCTCAGTCCCTTGAGAACCTGGGGTTACAGGTCTACACTGCCATCCTCAGTTTAATATGTTTCATAAAATACTGTTTGGGGTTCCAATGAGAACAGCTCAAGTAGCGAGTAACAGAAAATTCAATTCCACCTGGTTGAATGGGAAGGCCCTGTATTGACTAACACTGGATATACAGGAGTAGGACAGCCATTGGAGCTTCTCCAAGACAATTCCTCTGTGTGTCTGCCCATCTTGGCCATGAGTGGAGACAGCCCCGCCCAGAAGAAAAGCAAAATCATGCCTTGGTTTGTTGCTGGAACCTTAGGAGGAGAAGTAAACTTTGCCCTAGGAAAGGAATTTCAACAACACCCTACCTCCAAAAGTAAGGTGGAGAGTGACTCAGAAGGCAGCCAATGGCATCAACCTCTGGCTTTCACACAAATGTGCAGATGCCCATACAAGCATGTACGTACAACACATACACATGGACAAGAAAACAAACGTTCTGATGGCAACTGTAGAGACAGCTTTTCAACTACAGGAGTAGTAAGAACCTTAGTGTGGGGTTGGGGAGATGATGGCTCAGGGGTGAAGAGCACCTGCTGCTCCTGCAGAGGTCCTGCACCTGGTTCCTACCGCCTGTGTGGAGCGGTTCCTACCGCCTGTGTGCAGTGGTTCACTACCGCCTGTGTGCAGCGGTTCCTACCGCCTGTGTGCAGCGGTTCCTACCGCCTGTGTGGAGTGTTCACTATCACCTGCAACTCCAGGCCCAGGTGATCAAGTGCAATGCCCCATTTCTGACCACAGCAGGCACTACCAAGCCTGTGTTCGTCCATACACATTATGCGCACACACCGCAGCAGGGGAGAGAGAACAGCCGAGTGCACTCTAAACGGTGACTGTGCGTGTGGTAGGCAAATGGTGCTGCAGTGCGCTGTTGAGATAAAAACTAGGTCTCACACAGAGAGCAGGGCTCTTTACCTCTCATGCTGACGCACACCATGGCCAACACAGTGCATATGATGACCGCCAGGAGAACAAGGAGAACAATCAGGTAAGTGCTGAGCAAGACTCCACCAGGACAGTCCAGCTTCCTTCTGTGCACAAGATACAAAGTCAGACTGGCAATCCACCTGTGGACAGAGAAGAAAGAGGTTTCATAAAACAATGATAGGAGGAAATAAAGGAGTTAACAGTCTCCAAGGTTAGGGTTCAATGTAGAATGTACTTTCATCAATGAAAAGTCTACCAAGAGACAGACTGTTGGGACACGTGTGAATTTCTATTCTTTATATCTGCTGCAATCCATGTACTGGGCATGGTGGTGCTTGCCTGTAATCCCAGCACCCGAGAGGCAGAGGCAGGAAGATCATAAATTAGAGGCCAGCCTGAGCCTGAGCTATGTATGAGTTCCAGGACACTGCACAAGGAGCCCCCACTTAAAAGACAAACAGCCAGACGGTGGTGGCACATGCCTTTAATCCCAGCACTTGGGAGGCAGAGGCAGGTGGATCTCTGTGAGTTCAAGGCCAGCCTGGTCTACAGATCCGAGTTCCAGGACAGCCTCCAAAACAATACAGGGAAACCCCGTCTGGAAAAACCAAAAAAAAAAAAAAAAAAAAAAAAAGACAAACAGGCTGGGGTTATAGCTCAATCAATAGGGTGTGTTTACCTGGTATGCAAGAGCTCTTTAAGTTCTACAGCCACTGCTATATAAACTAAGTGTGCACACCTGTAATCCTAGCACTAGGGAGAGAGAGGCAGGAGGATGAGACATTCAAGACCATCACCACCCCCTACATAGTGAGTTTGAGACAAGCAAGAGATGTAGGAAACCCTATTGCAAAACAAAGCCTAGGCTAGCATGTACAAAGGTTCTTCAAGGAAAATACCTGTCATGACTTAGAATCATGCGAGTGGTAAACCAACACACCATGTTTGCTGAACTATTCCCAGGAGGATTTGTACACGTGTAGTGTATGTGTAGTGTAGCCTACTGCAATTCAAAACCAAGCAAGCATGAAGTCAGTTGTGAAAATAACCGATAAATTCAAAAGGATAAGTCCTATGGGCTCCTGATTACATTTTGTAATTCAACAGTGAACAGTAAAGATGGCACGGACCTGCAGAAATAACTATGACTCTAATTCACCCTAGAGGTACTTCAGCAGAGGACAGCACTACTTAGCAAGGATGTCCTTTTTAAAAATTACATTTATTTACTTATTTATTTGGGGAGGAGTATGTCATGGCATGGCATGCTTGAAGAGGAAGGTCAGAGGACAACTTGAAGGAGTCGGTTTTCTCCTTCTACCATGTGGGGTCCTGGGGATACAACTCAGATCACCGGGTTTGGCAGCAAGCACATTTACCCATTGAACTGTCTTGTTGTCTAAGATTGTCCTATCAAAGATCCGTACTCCGAAGCCAAAAAAGGTGTCGTTTGAGGTAATGGGGATTTAGCTCGGTTGTAAAGCACTTGCCTAGCATGCATGAGAGTCTGGGCTCAAGCACTAGAGGAAAAAAAAATGAAGGATTGGTCTAGACAGCTTTTCTTTTTTCCTTTTTTCGAGATAGGGTCTTGTGCGGCCGTATCCAAGGATGAATTCGAACTGCTGATCCTCTTGCTGCCACCCCCTACGCCCCCGGTCCTGAGATTACAGCTGTGCACCGCCACCACCAGTTTTGCGTGCTGCTGGGGATCTAGGCACGGGCCTCACGAATATTTGGTGAACACACTTCCAAAATGAGTTACACCCCCAGCCCCGAGATAACTTTGTCTGTCTTGCAGACACGAGGGCACCGTGTCTGGAAATAACGGTAAAACGATCTAAGAAAAACCCAGCCCTGAGAAGCAGAAAGTTCCTAGAAAGAGCTTTTGTGCTCCCATTCCTTTCCCCTTAGACAATGCTTTTTCCTAAGAACTCTATTCCCCGTTGCCAGGCAGGCCAGGAGCTGGCTTCACACACTCGTGCTGTTTCCCACGGCGCGGCGCGTAGCTACGTTTTGCTAGTATATTGGTGTCTGTGACTTGCTCTGAAATTGCAATTGCCTAAATTTTTCTTTTTGCAAAAACAGGTACTTCGCAGCCCGCCCAGCAAAGAGGACTGGAGTGAGGCAAAGTTCCAGAACCGGGCTCCACAAAGGAGAGAGACCTGGAGGCTACGGCTTTTGGATGCTCAGGCTTCCCTCACGCTCCCAGTGCCAGGGCTCGGCGCCGCACCCCAGCCTTCGTGCCCTGCGGCGCTGAAGGTCCACGACACCTGTCAAAAGCACAAAGCGACTGCACCTACGTTCTAAGTGCAGAGGGACCATGCTAGGCAGGCACGGCTGCCGCTAAGCACAGAAGAAGGGCGACTTTTGTCGCCTTCTCCAGCCACAGCGCACCCTCCCCGTCCGCACAGCGGCCTCACTTACAACAGCACACGCAGGAACAGCTCGAAAGACCCGGGGAACACCAGGTCGTCGCTGGCCAGGGACCAGCGCCGGCCGAACAACACCATCCCCGGCATGGTGCACCTCCCACCGCGCCGCCCTAGGTCGCGCGCACCCTTCTGACTCCGCGGGCGGACTAGACCCCAGGTGCGCGCAGGCGCACGCCTAAGTAAAGGCTCGCGCATGCGCTCACTGGCCCGAGGCCTGAGCACGCGCATTGACTAGCAAGCGCTCTTGTGGGCTTTGCCACCTTCTCAGAACCGCTGGATCCTCTGGCCCGGAAGTTAGCTGTTGGCATCGCCTGAGGGTCAGAGGTGTGTGAAGTCCGTTCCGATGTGGTCATTTCTGTTTAATAGATAAGGATTCGAAAGACCTGGAAAGAATGCTCTCCCCACAGAGCCTCTGCCATTCACGGCGAGGCTAGGACTTAGGACTTATGCTTGGGTCTCTGAATCTTCCAAGCTTGGAAGAACTTTACTGTCGTTTGTGGTACCTTTGGACTCAAGACTCACTGAGTTCAAGTCTGAAAGGCCACCCAGCAGTTGGCGAGATAAGGTTTGACCGCTGTTCGCACTTCCACGGCTCTCCCTTCTCTGCTACACAACGTAGTCTTAGCCACTTTCACCTCTTCTCCTGGCTGGTCTTCCTCACTTTCCCCGGGGTGACCCAGGTGACCGGTCAGATCTAGTCCAAATTATGCCTAAGACTTGCAAGGTTGCTCTTGGGCATAAAATACATCTTAACTCAGAGATCTTCCTTGCGGAGTCTTACACCAAAAGCTTGTGATTAGTGTCTGTGTTCCGAGTCTTCCACCTGCTGTCCCCCACCTCCCATCAGGTCCATTTTAGTTCCCAAATTATTTTGTGTCGGTGGTGTGCATGTTTTTTCATGTGTGTGTGTGGGCGCATGTGTGTAGTATATGCACATGCACAGGTGCTCATGTATGTAGCGAGCTGAGGTTGATATCAAGAATCATACCAATCGCTCTCCCACTTCGTTCACTGAGGCAAAGTCTCTCAATCAAATACAGAGCTCGCTGATTGATATGTCTAGCCTTGCTAGCCAGCTTGCTGTAGCGATCTTCTGATTTCCCCTTCCCAGGCTGTAATTACAGGTGTGTTGCCACGCCCATTCTGCATTTTCCTGTGTTTCCAGGGATCTGAATTTTAGTCCTCACCCTAGCTCAGAAAGCACTTTAATTTCTGAACCATCTCCTTAGCCCCTCACCCCCAAAATTTTAACGTTTTCTGTTTATTGTAATGGATATGGTACTCCTTTTGGGGGGAGGGGGGCTGTCAAGACAGGGTTTCTCTGTGTTACAACTCTGGCTGTCCTGGAACTCACTCTGTAGACCAGGCTGGCCGTGGACACACTGAGATCCGCCTGCCTCTGCCTCCCGAGTGCTGGGATTAAAGTACCATCTGCCAGGCTGGAGATGCTATTCTTATAGGCATTTCTTTTTTTCTTTTGTTTCCCCATATACACCCCATTTTAAAAATTTTGGTTCTGGGGATTAAATTTAGACCTCTTTTGCTAGGCTGCATTTTACCACTGGATATATCTTCCACTACCTACAGCTGTGTCTGTATCGCTTCATTCAGGTCTCAGGTGTCGTGTCATTATTTCAAGGAAGCCTTCTGCGAGGCCCCTATCTAATCGCACAGCTTGGGCTCTGTTTCCTAACTCTGGTCTCCTTACTGTGCTGACTCTCTCCCTAGCCCAGGTGGGACTGCCATCCAGCAGGCTGGTGAATTGAAAGATGGTGTCAAGGCAGGGGAGATTAGTTGTAAGATCTGGACTTCAAATTAATTGAGAAGATGGATTTGTCAAAATGTCCATCCTGAGGCTGGAGATGTAACTCCGATGGCAGAGTGCAGAGTGCTTGCCTGCTGTGCGCAAAGCCTTGGTTTCCAACCCCAGCTACTGCGTAAACTGGATGTGGTGGGACATGCCTGGGATCCCAGTTATTGGAAGGTCATTCTCAGCGACATAGTAAATTCAAGGCCTGCCTGGGCCACGTGAGACTCTGTCTCAGAAATCTGAAGACAAAGTCCATTTGGGGAGATACAAATTTAGGATGTAATTTTTGTAGGCAGCGATGGGTGTTCCCAGGCTGGCCTTGATGAGTGGCTCTTTCCTAGGAAGCATCTGATAGCATTGTGTTCCTATTCCTTTGCCCCCTTGAGGATGTTTTTCCTGAGAATAATAAACCTCATCGCTAGGCATGCCACGACTGACTTCATACTGTGGTGTCACTTCCCACTGGGCCCACATTTTGCAATACAAGTCTATCTCATCTGCTTCTCTCAAATCCAGGCACTGTTGGCCACTATCAAGATGCTTTTCAATTCTGCAAATCTCAAGAGCACACATTATTTCCTTACACTGTTTTTGTTACTGTAGTTTGCTCAAAGAGTTCCTGACATGTTGCATAACGGAGAGACCAGAGGGGATAACTGTCACTAAACCTTCTTGCTGATAGACAAGGAAAAGAACATATACTTCACCTGGTTATTTCAGACAAGAATAGGGTGAAGTTAAATAGAGAATTATGCAGATCTCTGTCCATCTACTTTTGTTTTTTTGAGACAGGGTTTCTCTGTGTAGCCCTGGTTGTGATGGAACTCACTCTGTAGACCAGGCTGGCCTCAAATTCACAGAGATCCACCTGCCTTTGCTGCCTGAGTGCTAGGATTAAAGGTGTGCACCTACCTCCTGGCTGCCCAAGTACTTTTAAAAATAGATTTATTAGATGATGGGACAGACTTAGAAGACTTCCTAGGGAAGGCCTTACCTTCTCTGTGGAGCAGATGAAAGGAAGGGGGAGTCAGGGGGAGCAGGAGGAGATGTGGGAGGGGGGAATGGGATTGGAATGTAAAAAATAAAATAAAAAAATTTAAAAAGTGGGTTTATTTTTGTTTCTCATTATTTGTATTGTGGGGTGGGAGCATGTGCATATGTGGGTATGCCTGCAGAGGCCAAAAGAGTTAAGGGCACTAGATCCCCTAGAGCTGGGGTCACAGGGGGTCGTGAGCCACCAGATGAAGATGCTGGGAACAGAACTCAGGTTCTCTGCAAGAGCAGTGTGTGCTTTTAGCCACTGAGCCATTTCTCCAGCCCCTGTCCACCTTCTTCAGCACTGTACAGTCACAGTCCAGGTGGAGAACACTTTCCCCACCAGGAAAAGCTGTCTATAAAAACTAGCAAGTGCTTTTATCCTTCCTCCAGCAGGCTGCCGTTCCCAGAGTTCACCGGGCTGTTGGTCTCATTCATTTGGCCCTTCCTGGGTAAGGGCTCTGTTTTGGATTCACTTGAACACAAACCTGGCATCTGGCTGAGACACCCCATGTGAGGCTGTCCTGCCTAGGTATAACATTGTCTTGTTCTGAGACACTCCAGAAGTTTTGTAGAGCCTAGGTGAGTAGTCTGATGAAGGCTGGCTACCGTAGTCCTGCCAGTTGTTTCTGGGAGGATGATCTTTCCCTCTGTGTCCTCCATCAACCTGTGGGTGAGCTGTCATTTATTTCTTACCATAGAGTCTGGGGCAGTACTGAGGCATGGTATGTTGTCAGAATATCAATAGACCCCACTGGTCTATTTGTCCAGCAGCCAAGTCAGCAGCCCAGCAGTAGAGGACAGATTTGTAGAGAAAGCCTGATAGCCTTCAGGAGGACTAGGATTTTTTAATGACCTTTTCCCATCGGTGAGATCTTTCTTTATAGCACGGACATGGGCAGTAGTAAAAGCATACTGACTGATGGACTGTGTATATGATGGTGGACTTCCTTTTCCCTACCCGAGAACCTGAGTCAGATTAATCAGTTCTGCTCTCTGGGCTAAGGTATCAGGGTTGGACCCAAATTGTCTTGGTTAAAGTAAATACGCAGCTTGCACATACCTGCTTCCATCTTTCATCTCCTGACAGCGGTGGAAATGGACAAGCACCTGCATCATCAGGCGAGCAGGCGGCAGAATCGATGGCGGTGAGATTCTCAAACAGGACTCCAGGGTGGGCCGGGCTAGAGCCTGGTACTGGGCCACACAGTCGTTAGACAGTCAGCATTCTGGTGCTCCTTGGAGGAGGGCCTCAACCACTTTGTGGGGTGCTGTGAGTATAAGATCTTGACCCACAGTTAACTTCCTTTTTTTTTCCCATTTAACTAGCAGTAACCACTACAACTCTTAGATGGAGGGGGGGCACCTTGTGGCTATACGTCCAGTTATTTGGACAGGTATATCATAGGGCATTTCCGTGGCCCCAACATTTGGGTTAAAACTCCTTTTGTCTTTGGTTTAGTCTCATTTCAGATTAGGGGCTCAGTGCCCCCCTTGTGCTAATCTAGAGGCCTTGCTATTTCCATAAACTCTGGTATCCAGAGGTAGCAATAGCTAGCTGCACTAGGAGCCTTCCAGTCTGTCTCTTAGTCTTTGGATGGCAGCAATCCTCCTCTGAGACAGGCTCCTTTTGCCTCCCTTCAGCTGGTAGCCAAGATATACAACCTCTGATGTACAAAGTTGGGCTTTCTTAGCCAATATTCTGAGGTCTGTAATCCTAGAAGCAGCCCCTCAGGGGTCCTTTTACAATCTATTTTCCTGGGAAACCTTTGACAGGAGAGCAGGAGGGCAACATTTACTGTCTCATCAAACAGAATTGGCAAATTTTTAAATACTTAGGCAACCTGGTCCATGTAAGTTACCTGCTGTAACTTCCCATTGGGTCTGTCCATTTAAAAGCAAAGATAGATTCCTCCTCACCTTTCAGGTCCAAGACAGTGTGTACCTGTTTCTCTGGGAGAATCAGGCTTATGAGATCAGAGGTCCCAGGTTTCTTCACAGGCAGGAGAGGCATATTCCAGGATGACTGGCAGGACACCAGGAAGCCTGTCCCTTCAAGCCAGGCAATATGACTGCAATTCCCACTTTTGTTTCCAGGGTCACTGGGTATTGTTCAATCTGGATAGAAGTAGCTGGACTGGTTAGTTGAACAATTAGAGGAGCTTGGTGTTGGGCCAGTCCAGGGTGGTTGGTTTCTTCTGACAGAGGGTAAGACAACAAAATTTTGCTGGCTATCTTTACGTTTAACTGTGTCTCATCATTAGAGAAGGTGAAGGTGACTTTCAGCTTATGGAAAGGTCCTGTCCCAGTCAGTTCT